AATTTGGACACGTCCATGGACATTATTTTTTGTTCTTGAGCTTCCTTATCTTGTTGCTTCTGATATGCATAAGTATCAGCTTGATCTTGGACAAACTTGTCCAATATGTTGAGCTTTCGTCTCCTATCCTCCTCGAAAGCAATACCTTGCTCCACTAATGTTTTCAGGTACTTATCCCTTTTTTTTGTTGAGAAGGGTCAGCCATCTTCCTTTTCTTTTCTTTTTTTTTGCTGCCTTTTGTTTATCTCGCCCCTCAGGCCTTGGATTAGGCATGGTGATTTTGCCCGCATCGTTATCCAAATTCACCATACTTGCACTAGCTCTAGAAGAATGTTGTGTAGGAGGCTCATTTATATCGTTCCACTTTGGACAATCTTTTAAGATTTTCCAAGCATGGTACAACTTGAAAGGCTTATTTGGAAGCTTATTATCATTAAGAAATATTGTTTTCACATTCATGTTATACACATGAAAAAATAAATTTAAGTTTGGAGTTGAATAAAATTACAAAAGCTTTAATAAGAATGATTACTTATCACATCATGTAAATTTGAGCCACTTCGTGGGTTCATATTGGCCTTAGTCAAGCATGCCTTCCAAAGAGAACACTGTTGGTTGATAGTCTTGAACTGAGAAGCAATGACTTGATATGTTCGTCACTCAGGTCCACTAATGCCTGGACCATTTTCTAGAAACTTTTAATATACATGCTTCTAAAATGTGTCGCTTGCTTGATTGGTGCCAATAGCCCCATCTTCACTGATAAAACCCACCATTTGCACAATGCTCATCTTCTTTGGGCCTCCAATTCACACCTCTTTGAGATTTTGTAGACATCTTCAACAAGAATGAAAGGAGATTGATGAGATTGACAAAGGAAAAATAAATTGAGAAATAGATAAAATGTTTTCGGTATATTATTTGAGAAATGGATGGGTATTTATAGAGTTTGGAGTGAGTTTTGGGGGTTGGATCTGATCTAGATTAATTTAAAATATTAGTTTGACAATTGGATTTAAATTTCAACCGTTGGATATTTTTTTTATATTGTTAAATAGCTTAAATTTAATCCCCATCGTTGATTTAAGTTATATGTATAAAACAAAAAAAAACAAAAAAAAACAGCAATAATTTCAAATGTTGGGCATCGAATGTGGCACATGTGGAAGACCAAAAAGCAACAACAAAAAAGAAGGTGGGGACCACAGAGGAATCTTTGCACATGGGGGCAGTTTGATATGAAGGTGGGCTCCATGAAAGAATTTGGGTCTAAGCAATAAGTGGTCTGGTATTGGCGTCCAATTTGGGTTTTCCCAAATTTTGGCCCATTCATTTTCTTGGGTTGGGAGAGGTTTGGGGTAATAATTTGGGATATTTTGGGTTTAGGTCCTTAGGTTGGAGATGGCCTTAGTGAATAATAATTAGTTAAATATTTTATTAAACAAAAAATAGAAAATTTTAATTATTATTTATTAAGTAATATAATATATGAAGTTAATTAAAATATTTAATACGAATTATTCACTAAAGAAATAATAATTTAAATATAATTACTAATTTAAATAATTAAATAAGGCAAAGATATTATTTAATTACTGAAAATAAATTTAAAAAAAATAATTAACCTAAACATACTAAGTTTATATTTATTTTAAAAAAAAAAACTTGTGCGATGAAATTTTGTTGGTAGATATATATCCCGGAGAAATTTGCCGTATTAGACCACTTTTGTAGGGAGAGGTTAATATGTCAAATTGTGCCGACATAGACTTGTGTCGAAGAAATTTCATTGGCAGAAGTGTTTTGTTTTTAAAAAATATAAAATTAGTTTATTTACTTCTTTTTTTTGCCAACTTCTTTATTTTAATATATGTTATTAATTAATGTCTTAGCCTTTTGGAATTACTTTAATTAGTAATTATGTTTTAATTCTTATTTCTTTATATGTTACTGATTTCACAAATGACTTAATAAATAGTAAGTATTTGAAGTTCAATGGACGTCAAAAAAATAAATTATTTATTTACGTTTGGGTGTCTTAATTAAATTTCTCTGAACCCGGCTATACTCGATTCTCTCTCTCTCTCTCTCTCTCTCTCTCTCTCTCTCTCTCTCTATATAATATATATATATTGGGATCCTTTTTTCCCTAAATTTTCGTTTATCAATAAGAGTTGTTTAGAACATTATCAATTACATTTGGCCATTACTCGAGTCTTTGCTGTCCCCTTTGAGTTTTTACTTCTATTACCCGTATAAATAATTTAGCATTTTCATGTTTAATACTTGTATTGTACACGTACATACGTATTTTTCATGTTTAATATGCTTTTTTTTATACACAATTTTCAATTATACACACATAATTCAAGTATTATGCACATAATTTTTGAATATTTTTGAATATAAATAATATATATTAAAAAAATTTAAAAATCATATTAAAATAAAATATAGTGGCCGAACTTATCCGTTGTAATTTACCAAAATATTGCCGAATAAAAAATGTATTTATTTTATGCATATTTTTCCCGTTCCGTATTTTACTAACTGAAATAATGTGAGAGGCTAAGATTATTTCTTACTTGTTGTAACAAAAACACAAGATGGTGATTTTGCAAATTCTTTGCCAACCACAACAACAATTTCAAACAATGAATTATAGGTATATTAGTAAGCGAGGAGGTAGTATTCTTCATGTAAATGCTGTCTAAAATGTGAAACAATTACCAAGAACACTCCAACTCAACATGCAATTCTCTACAACAAATAATGTGTGTAGTAACAGAATTTAGTAGCACTCGAGAGAACGAGGTGGGCTGAAGGCAAACATTTCCATAAAAAAAAAGAAGAAAAAATTCAACTCTCAAATTGATATACTATGAAATTTATCTCTCTTCACCATCTGCTTTGGAGATATTGAAACTAGCAAATTAATATCTATAAAGTATAAACTAGTGCAACTAGAAGGGTCATTTTCTTTTATTTTATTTTTAATAAATAGTATAGCCATGCGGCTGTACTCATATTAAATATAATATACTGAAAGCGTATAGCCGCGCGGTTATAATGTTTTTGACATGGGGTCAAGCGCAGGCGGGTCCTCTTTATTTTATTTTTAATAAACAGTATAGCCCGGCGGCTATACCCGGGTTTTTTATTTTTACAAATTTATAAATAAACTCAATTCTAGACATGTATTTATAAAAAAACCTAAGCACTATTTAAATATAGAAACACACCCAAAATCAACAATTGTATATTTTTTTGGGTGTGTTTATAAATGGGTTTTGAGTGTGTGTAATGATGGGTTTTGGGTGTGTTTATAAAGTGTTTTGAGTGTTGGGTTTTTTTATAATTTCAGCTCACATTTTTGGTGTTTTAGTGAAACTCCATTTTATTTTTAGGGGTATAGCCGCAAGGCTATACCATGGTTTTTTCCTGTAAAAAATAGTCGTGCCGCGCGGCTATACTCGGATTTTTTTTATTATTATAAAAAGGGTATATCCAGGCGGCTATACTATAGTTTTATGATTTTAAAAAATAGTATAGTTGCGCGGCTATACTAGCTATACTGTTTTTGACATGCTACGCCGCTAGAGCTAGCTGCCATGTGGTCTTTAAAAAAAAATAATTATAAATCGTATAGCCACACAGCGATACTCCAAAATAGAATATCTTAAAGGTATAGCCGAGCGGTTATACCCTTTAAGTAGCATAATACGAATTTCTCTTTTTTAATTACTTTAATTAGTAGTTATGTTGTAGTTATTATTTACTTAATGAATAATTATTATTTACGTATTTTATTAAACAAAAAATAGAAAATTTTAATTACTATTTTTTAAGTAATATAATTCATGAAGTTAATTAAATTTTTTAGTACCAATTATTTACTAAAGAAATAATAATTAAAATATAATTACTAATTTGACTAATTAAATAAGGCAAGATATTATTTAATTACTAAAAAAATTAAAAAATTAATTAACCTAAACATACTAAGCTCATATTTATTTATTTATTTATTTTAAAACTTCTCCCAATGAAATTTCATCGGTAGATATATATCTCGGCAAAATTTGCCGTATGAGATCACTTCGAATTAATCAAAGCCGAGCCTATAGCCATGCCCATTAGTCCAACTCTCTAATGTTAACCACACTTACCAAACCATAATAGTGCTTTGTTTATAAATATCTGGAAGTGTGGATTTTCGATGTGGGATTTTCATAAAGGGCACCTCAAAAGACAAACCTATAGAGAAATCCATATTTTTATTATTGTGGCATATATTTAAAGAGTATAGTTGCGCGGTATACTGTATAAATAGAATATTTTAAAAGCCGCCTGGCTATACTCCAAAAATAGAATATTTTAAAGGTCTAGCCACGCGACTGATCGACTAAATAAATAGTCTCACAAGTCTCAGAAGGAAGAAGATTAAAACATAAGAATTAGTGTAATGTGACTAGATAATACTCTTACACACTTGAGTAGAAACCATCTCCACCTCTACGCTGTTTCTCCATTTTGTGGTGTATAAAAAGGTGGCAAAAATGCCGAATCGTACCCTCTTCTCTTCCCTTGTCCCCTCCTCCTTCTATGCTTTTTTTATGGGATTAAATTTTTTAAGTCCTAGCTACCGTGTATCTTCGGGTCCTCATTTCAAACAAACATGCCTTTTCCCCCCTTCAGAGGGCCATTACGTACCTAGGGACTTCTGTACGCCCTTCTCCGTCAAGCGACTATATGTCCCCTTCCTAGGGTTCTAACCTCTGCCTCAATTAATACATCAACACCTGACTCCCCTTCCCTCTTCCCCTTTCCACCATCCTTCATTTGAGACTGGGGATTGTCCGCCGGAAATCATCCTTCTCCCATAGGCGACGTCAGCCTGTGCATCACAGAATCACATAAACACCCTCCCGAACTCCCGGTTTCTGCCGTGGGTCGGCCCAATGACTCGCCAATATCCTCTCTGTGGGGGGTTTACACTCATGAATGCCGTGGATGAGTTTCCCTTCTTGTCTCGACACCCTCGTTTCTTGGGGGCAGGACATTTTCCCCCCCCGGTTTCCCCGAGCGAAGCTCTCGAGTCGCTGTACTCCTGCAACCAAGTACCATGGCAACGTTCCGCGGGTGTGTGGAACGGAAACCTTTAAGTTGCGGGGTAGGGTTCACCCCCTTCCATTGTTTTTCCCTTCATGCCTCCCCTAAGATGCCCTTCTGGGCCCGTGGTGAGCCTTTGTCGCCTTCAGGTACGTTATGGAGGGCGTTTGGGGCCGCCCCTGGGTAATTGCCCGCTTATGTGTTTACATACTTGGGTCAAGAGTGACATCTCCGTTCTGTTGCAAAGGGGATATCAACAAGAACCTGATCATGAGGCGCATCACGCCCCGTGCACAATTTCAGTTCCTGGTCGTAAAAGGAGATTGGAGAAGGAAATTTGTCTGTTTAACTCTCTTCCTTCTGCAGTGTGTTTCTTAGTTGTGAATATGGGGCAGGGTTTTGCACTCTTGCCCTAGCCACCAAATCTTCATTTTTTTTATTATGGATTTCCAAGTTTGGTTGTAATAATGGGTTCGTGAAGAAACTTTTGTTTTTTTTTTTTTTTTTTTTTTTTTTTTTTTTTTTTTTTTTTTTTTTTTTTTTTTTTTTTTTTTTTTTTTTTTTTTTTTTTTTTTTTTTTTTTTTTTTTTTTTTTTTTTTTTTTTTTTTTTTTTTTTTTTTTTTTTTTTTTTTTTTTTTTTTTTTTTTTTTTTTTTTTTTTTTTTTTTTTTTTTTTTTTTTTTTTTTTTTTTTTTTTTTTTTTTTTTTTTTTTTTTTTTTTTTTTTTTTTTTTTTTTTTTTTTTTTTTTTTTTTTTTTTTTTTTTTTTTTTTTTTTTTTTTTTTTTTTTTTTTTTTTTTTTTTTTTTTTTTTTTTTTTTTTTTTTTTTTTTTTTTTTTTTTTTTTTTTTTTTTTTTTTTTTTTTTTTTTTTTTTTTTTTTTTTTAGGTACCAATATTTACTAAAGAAATAATATTAAAATATAATTACTAATTTGACTAATTAAATAAGGCAAGATATTATTTAATTACTAAAAAAATTAAAAAAATTAATTAACCTAAACATACTAAGCTCATATTTATTTATTTATTTATTTTAAAACTTCTCCCAATGAAATTTCATCGGTAGATATATATCTCGGCAAAATTTGCCGTATGAGATCACTTCGAATTAATCAAAGCCGAGCCTATAGCCATGCCCATTAGTCCAACTCTCTAATGTTAACCACACTTACCAAACCATAATAGTGCTTTGTTTATAAATATCTGGAAGTGTGGATTTTCGATGTGGGATTTTCATAAAGGGCACCTCAAAAGACAAACCTATAGAGAAATCCATATTTTTATTATTGTGGCATATATTTAAAGAGTATAGTTGCGCGGCTATACTGTATAAATAGAATATTTTAAAAGCCGCCTGGCTATACTCCAAAAATAGAATATTTTAAAGGTCTAGCCACGCGACTATGCTCTATAAATATAATATTTTAAAAGTATAGAAGAAGAAGATTCAAACATAAGACTTCGTGTCATGTGCATAGATAACTACTCTTAACCACTTGAGCTATAAACCCTTTACAATCTAAAGCATGTTTGATTTCATTTTTGTGGTGTATAAAAGGTATGGCCCACAATGACGAATTGGAAGATGGTAAAGTTTGACCCGAAACGTATGCATTGTTTTTGGGTTAAATTTAAGTCCTAGATAACGTGAGTCGGGTCCAAGAAGCAACCCAAAACACTGATTTGGGCCAAGTCCATAGACCAGCCGACCCATGGGCACATGACGTAAGCCCATACGCAGAAGCCGACTAATGACAATCGCCTAGGGCTTCAGAAAATCGGACGATATATATAAATCACAAACGCCTCTCTTCAATCTTCCACCCTCTTCATTTTGAGAATTAGGGTTTGGGCAGCCGAAATCAGTCGCCATGGGACGAAGGCCAGCCAGGTGCTATCGCCAGATCAAGAACAAACCCTACCCGAAATCCCGTTTCTGCCGTGGTGTTCCGGACCCTAAGATCCGAATCTACGATGTGGGTATGAAGAAGAAGGGCGTGGATGAGTTTCCCTTCTGCATCCACCTCGTTTCTTGGGAGAAAGAAAACGTTTCGAGCGAAGCTCTCGAGGCCGCTCGTATCGCCTGCAACAAGTACATGGCCAAGTTCGCCGGAAAGGACACCTTTCATTTGCGGGTTAGGGTTCACCCCTTCCATGTTCTCAGGATCAATAAGATGCTTTCTTGTGCCGGAGCCGATAGGCTTCAGACTGGTATGAGAGGTGCTTTTGGGAAGCCCCTGGGTACTTGCGCTAGGGTTGATATTGGTCAGGTGCTTCTCTCTGTTCGTTGCAAAGATAGCAACAAGAACCATGCTCATGAGGCTCTCCGCCGTGCCAAATTCAAGTTCCCTGGTCGTCAAAAGATCATTGAGAGCAGGAAATGGTATGTTTTAACTCTCTTCATTTCTGAGTTTGTTTCTTATTTTGTGCATATGGGTCATGGGTTTTGCACTCTGACTCGAAACCCAAAATCGAATTTTTTATTTTGATTGCATTTTTGTTGTATATCATGGGTTCTGTTGAAGAAACTTTTTGTCATAAGTAGAATTAGAATTAATCCATATTATACTGAAACTTTGTTGATGTCTTACTTTTTCAGGGGCTTTACCAAGTTCAGCCGAGCTGACTATGTCAGGTTGAAGGCAGAGCATCGTATTGTTCCTGATGGTGTCAATGCCAAGGTTTGTTTATTTCTAAAAAATTTATTCTTATTATAATTTTTAGTTCCTTAAATTTGATTTCATGTGACAATGCCAATAACTAATGATTTATGTTGGTTCTTGCAGCTTTTGGGATGCCATGGATCTTTGGCTTTGCGCCGTCCTGGAGGAGCATTCATTGATGCTGCTGTGAACTGATTCATGTAACACAACTTCCATTAGAAATTGTGTTCGTGAAATCCATATTACATTTCTGTTTTGATTTCTGTTGATTAGATTATGTACGTTTTTGGAAATGTTTCGGCAAGCTTTTGTTTAAGATTTTAGAATTTTGGGCAAACTCATGTTGGAGTTGTGTATTCGATATTTTTATGAAAGTTTTTGGTTATCGTTAATGTTATCAGAAAGCTGTTGCTTTGCATGAATTGGCTTGTTATGTTGTGAGTCTCTTTTGATGTTCTTTTCTGGTAATGATTTATATATCAACAATAAATTTATAGCTTCTCATGCAATTGAAGTACTTGAGTCACAGGGTACGGATCTTTTGCTGGATAGAGTTTTTAATGATATAGTTTTAATGGTGTTAACCACACATATAACAGAAATATTTCCCCTAGACCGTAGTGCTGGTGTTTTCAGTTTGAAATTAAACAATTTGATTGAACCGTCATGAATTGCCTCCTTGCATGCCGTATTAATTTTCAAGTTTTGTCAAGGCTATTTCAAAAATAAAAAAGTTAAAAACCCGAAGAAATGGAACAAGTACACTGCGAACAGAATTTGAAGTCCGTTCTGCTTTGGAAACACTTGGCTTCGTAAACCGAAGGTTGGGATGTCAAACAAGTTATGAAGCCTTCTACCGCTATGCTCTCTTTCGGAAAAGCCTTTCCTTTACAACTTTCTTTCTGGGTTTCCTAGCTACAAATTCCTTCTCATCTTTAACAACTCTACTATCCGTCTCAGTTGTGCTTGCTTCCGGTTTGACTTCACAACCTTCTGGACTTTCTGTGTTTGCTTCCTGTACTTCGCAACCTTCTGGATTTTCTGTGCTACGAACTCTGTTTGCTTTAGCTTTCTTTCTAATTTGTTTAGGAGCAACTTCATTCTTCTTCATCGGGCTGACTTCCTGTTCAATTTCTTGACCTTTGGGGCTATCTGGCAGAACCTTTGGAGAAGATTTTGTGTCATCCATTTCGGGCGCGATACCTCTCTTTGGCCTTTGTTTCTGATTCAATTCCGAGTCTGGGGAAGTTTTTGTGTCATCCATTACAGGCACCATACCTCTCTTTGACCTTCGTCTCTGATTTGGTTCCAAGACTGGGGAAGTTTTTGAGTCTTCCATCACAGGCACAACACCTCTCTCTGACCTTCGTTTCTGAATTGATTCCGAGTCTGGGGATGTTTTTGTGTCAACCATTGCAGGCACAGTACCTCTCTTTGACCTTCGTTTCTGATTTGGTTCTGAGTCTGGGGAAGTTTTTGTGTCATCCATCTCGGGCACCATTCCTCTCTTTGACCTTCTTCTCTGATTTGGTTCCAAGACTGGGGAAGTTTTTGAGTCTTCCATCACAGGCACAACACCTCTCTCTGACCTTCGTTTCTGAATTGATTCCGAGTCTGGGGATGTTTTTGTGTCAACCATTGCAGGCACAGTACCTCTCTTCAACCTTCGTTTCTGATTTGGTTCTGAGTCTGGGGAAGTTTTTGTGTCATCCATCTCGGGCACCATACCTCTCTTTGACCTTCGTCTCTGATTTGGTTCCAAGACTGGGGAAGTTTTTGAGTCTTCCATCACAGGCACAACACCTCTCTCTGACCTTCGTTTCTGAATTGATTCCGAGTCTGGGGAAGTTTTTGTGTCAACCATTGCAGGCACAGTACCTCTCTTTGACCTTCGTTTCTGATTTGGTTCTGAGTCTGGGGAAGTTTGAGACTCATCCATCTCAGGCACAATACCTCTCTTTGACTTTCGTTTCTGATTTGATTCTGAGTCCGTCTTCATGGCTGCCTTTGATGTCTTTTCAGCACTGGTAATCTCTTCTTTGTCCACATTGTTTTTGAAACATTCTAGACTCGGCATGGGGTATGCCTTAACTATGTAGATCTGCAGTCGTAACAACTACTAGTTCAATATTTGGCCTTTCAAAGAAGTCCAGATAAGTATATAGAAAGCATACATTCTCAAATCAAGCCAAAGCCCCATCAGATAATGATGCATTTGATGACTTAAAACGGGCATAAAAAAAAAAAAAAAAAAAAAAAAAAAAACGATAATCAATCAGAGCTTGAAAGTTTATGATTAAACTGTGATAAGAATTGTGTCCAAAAAAAAGAAAACTGTGGTAAGAATATGTTTTGAAGTGTCTAATTACTACACTGTTCAAGCCTAAGCCTCAACATATAATGGAATGGTACTACTACTATGCATGAACTACCTAAGAACATATTTGAAGTGTCTAATTCCTCAAATGTTTCATTCCTAGATTTAGATTATATGCTTACATCGATCGAGCAGTAGTTTATATGTAGAAATCAGTTGATTTTAATAAGAGGGCAAGCTCTTGCAAGATCAATTTTGTTTAATATATATTTAAGCGTACCTTAAATCTTGCGGGCTCAGTCAGTTCAAACACAAGCGCATCACCATCATCCAACTTGTGTTCCAAAGCAAACCCTCTCCAGCCCCCACTAAGCCCAGCTCTCTTGCCAATGTAGACAGCATCATACTCATTGCCATCTTCATCCTCTAGTATCATTTCCGACCCCGTTTTTGAGAGATGATCCTCGCAAAATTTTGAAGGAAGCCCCTTGAAATCAAAAATCAAAACGAAACCAGTAGACAAATAGATTAATTAATCAAGTAACAATTATATCTGCTACAACTTGTTTGATGTTGGTGGTATAGATTAAACAAACCACTAATAAGTATGACGACAGTACTTAAAAACCAAGTTTTTTGTTGCAACTTACCAACCAGAAACAGCTATAAACATGAGACCGAACCATTGATTTGACAAAAGATGGATTCTCAGTCTGTAGATTCTCTTGAAGCTTCTCTGCCGCTTTAAAAGCAGCACTCCTTTCTTCATAAGAAGCAGCTCTGACTTCCTCTATAGGCCTTGCAAGGTAGCTGAAAGTTTCACACAATTACCACCAAAACAGCTAAATAATTGATGCAATAAAGCAACATGAATTCAACAGCCAAAAATCTATCCTACCTTCCCCATGAAGATGAAGTTTTCCTTGACCCTTTCCTCAAAGTTGGCAGGCCTATGTCAACCTGCAATGGGAAGCAAAAATCCATTCATTCTTTTTCCCATAAATTGATGTTGATGGTTCAAAATCAAAACTTGCTTATCACACATAGACCAGTTGTGAGTGCATCACTTACATCATCACGATACGATTGGATTGGGTTGCGCTGACGGGAAGACCGTCTTGGCTCTAAATCAAAACAGGTATTTTTTGCTTTGGGTCTTGAAACACGTTGCTGTAGCACGGTACCACCATAAAGATACGAACTTTCTAAATTTTTTCAAGTACTGAAATGAAAACCCACAGCAATATAAGAAAATGAGAAGATGGAAACAAGTCTAGATTTTTCTTTAACCTGGGACTTGTTCGGAGAAGCAGTCAAGTGGGTCAGAGTCTTCGAAATGTTTGAAATTCCCAAATCCTTCATCAGCCAAAATTATGCAGCAAATGAGAGTTCAAAGATGAAAAGTTTTTTTCTTTTCGAAAATGAAGTCGAAGAAGAAGATATGAATGGGATTGCAGACACAGACCTGGAACTTCCTTTTGTTTTCTTCAAGGCGTTGGTTGCGAGCCTCTTCGTAAGTGTTGGCGGTGAATGAGTCGACAGCAGCTACCATTTTTCGCTTGGAATCGGATTGACCCAACAACAAAAACAGCAAGATCCGATTGATCGAGTGAGAACGTGGCCGTATCAGAAAACCAGAGGGAGTTGAGGTGTTCAGTTATTGCGCAGCCTAACAGACAAGGTGAGCGGTATGAAGTTGAAGCCCTGGCGTGCATTGAACAAGGTAAGAAAGTGCGCCGTTTGAATTTCAAATTAACTATGGCTGACGACGTCGTTTTGATTAATTGTTTGTTACCTTCCTCTTCTCTTTTTTTATCTTTTCCTATTGTTCTTACTTCGGCCCCAACCATAAAATGAAGCCCAAACCCAAATCTAATTTGTACTTGTGTTCTGCGTGATTTACAATGATTACGTATTTAGAATTTATCTCGAGACTTTTTCATTGATGAGGAAGTGAGTAAGAAGCTTTGCTTCAGCCTTCAGTAGATCACAATTTTTTTAAAATTTCTTTAAATGCAAGCGACATTAGAAGAATGGAAATCGAACTAAAAACCTCAAATGCATGGATAAATGTTCTTAACTACTTAAGCTATAAGGCTTTCTAGTTGGAGACCACAAAACTACTTACCAACCCTGATTTTGGCAAATTCTAGATTTTTCGTGAATGGCTATAGATCACAGCTTCATCCATATTGCATCATAATGGTCAATGGCTTTCTTTTCTTTTTTTATTTTTTTTGGGTCAGGAAGAGTACTTCATAAAAGCCCAAAGGCAAAGCAGGCCCAAGAGGAGGGCCCTAGCCTGAACAGGCGGGGGGAGCAAACGCAAAGACAATAAGGCCTAAAGGAATGGAAAAGCAAGAGCAATAACCAACCAAAGGAAGAATGAAAAGCGAATTCACAATCGAGAGTGTAACAAAGAAAATGATGTCAACATCTCAATTCTCATTTGATATGTATTGGGTTGTAGGCACATAAGCCATATAAGCATTATTCTATTAATTTGGCACCAAACCAATGCATCAATCTAGAAATACCCCCCAAAAATTGTCAATTTAACAAGTACAAGTCAAGACAAGAACTGGAATTCCCAGTATCAAAGCTCAACATTGAAGTACAAGTTTAACCAATAACCAAAAAAACTACTCAAACTTATTTGCATGAGAAACAAGAAAAACTACAGTTCTTCTGGCAATTTCAACAGCTATTGACTGAATGCATAGCTTCAGTACCTGTGCTCCAACTTCTCCTTTTCCTGGTAGCTCTGAACATACCTGCAAACATTTCAGAATTGAGCACAAGAACAAAAAAAATATGGTCTATTTAATCAAAACATTTTTGTGGGCATAGGGAAGAAGAATAGGAAAGGGGAGTTAGACAGCAAATAATAAGTAAAATCGACAATGACAGAAACGAAGAAGAGGGCAATTACAGATTGGTCTGACTTTGCAATGTTGAAACAAATGTATTACTGACGAACAAAATGCCTATTCAAAACAAAAAAACCCTTTTATCTGAGCCTTATACACAACTTAGCTAAGTTAATTTATTTACATCCTACGCTAATGTTTGCTAGAATTTGATGAATAGTGTGAAAAGATTTTAGGCTGTGTCTCAATTCTTTTTAGTTTTCTAATTATCTTGTTCATTGTTTTATCAAGTCCTCATTTTGAAAACTAGTGACTTCTCAAGCAAGATATGAAAGGGTTCACCCCCCCACCCCACCCCAAACGCACACACATATTCCTTTAAGCAGATGAACTAAACATCACTGGTTCTAAACAATCAACTGATTATGAAAAACCAAGAACAAAAAATATGTACTCGACGACTTGTAAGAAAATCCAATAAAAATACAGACGGCATGCATCGGTGAAAAAAAATTAATTAAAAATAAAAAGCTGCCACCTTTTTTTTCCCAGTTTTTCGTCCAAATTCCTCAGCTACAATCTAAACAAATAATTATTTCGGTATGGCTGCGAAAGTGAAGCCCTTGAACCCTAATATCATATCTTGGGAAAACTTAGAGAGAGAACGCGATTGGTGAAATGGGGATTGACAATTCTTTGTGGCAAAAGGAAAAAGCTTTCAAATTTAGTTTTTACTATAAATCCAGCAAATTCGATCAATTAACTCATATGAATATAAAAATCAACAAAAAAAAAGGAAGATTCGAAGAACAAGAAGGAGAAGGAGAGCTTACGAGTAGACGCCGACGAGTGGGCCGAGAAGGAGGGTGGCGCTGATCCAGTTCTCGGAGATCTTGTGGTGGATCTTCGTCGGCAGATCTTTCCAGAGACCAGGCATCACCTTCTGCTGAAACGGTGAAAGCGCGTACACCACTGCCTTCATCCTCACCGGCTGCTTCCCCATTTTTCCCTTCTCCAGAAACTTCTCAACTTCCCTTTGGTTTTGGTCTCAGCTATCAGTTGATATGAGCAAATGAAATACTTTCCTTACGCAATCTAATTCTTATATATCAAAGCCCACTGGTCCACACCCAAATAACTCTATTTTCCGTCCATCGATCCAATATAACCAAATCTGGGCCTAAGACCATTTTCAAGCCCATTCATTTAGTTTAACCCATGGTTGGGGCTCGCTCTCCAAACCCAGCCATATACACATCTCTCAAAGCTCCATGTCTTTTTATATAGGTGATATTATATAGCCGATATTAGGGTGGGGGGAGAGGAAAATAAACAAAGAACTCCGGGTGCAGAGACAAATAGTTTTGAACCCTTCTTTTGTTTTTGTTTTACAAAGCGATATTCTAAACTACTCTAATCTAATAAGCACTTCATATAAAACACTTTTGCTCATAAGCACTTTATTATAAGTATATTGAAAGTGTGCGAGGAATTCTCCTATGGAAGCGGGCTAGTCCTCGAAAATGCTTGTTAAAAGATGGACAGAAAAACGTATCGAGCCAGCAGTTGACTTGGGCATTTAATTCTTATTCCTTTCGACAACAACGCTTATTTCTAAAAACACTTGACATGTGCTTCTTCAGAAAAAGTTTTTATGTCCTAAAGGCAAAAGCACTTCTAAGATTATTTTTTTTGCGCCGAACTCTTTTCGAAGAATTTTTTGATTGTCATAAAAGAAAAATGTTGGTTTACTTGTCATAAAAGAAAAATGTTGGTTTACCTTTACTAGGTTGGTTTTTCTCATGTGAATATTCACCGTGTTTGTTTACTTACAAAAAACAATGTTTGCAACGTTTTCATCACATTTCCAACTGATTGGTTCTCTCTCTACCATCCCCAACTCCGAGTCAAATTTCATTCACCTATGTTGGCATAGAAACAGTGTCTACTGCAAGACGGGATAATGTTTACCGAGGAGCATGATAAACAGCTCATTCAAAGAACTGAATTCACCCACAAATGTAAAACATATTAAACAATCGATGCATATTCCCACTTCAGAGTTTTAGACAATGTCAAGTTAATAACAAGATACTTGTTCAGCAAAATAAAGAATAACTTATATGCCATAATTTTTCTACTTCTACAATCACAATCAACTACAACCACAAAAAACTATAACAAAAGAATATCTCCGTTCATCCGTATATCTTAATGTCATGGAAGAAAACCCTACATTGATCTCACCAAACAGGTCCATAACGCGTCCTCCTCTGCAGACAGGATTGAAATACACCGAGAAGCATTCGATGGCAAAAAAGTTCAAGAGTTGTACAGGAGGAAGAACTAATGAGAAGACGAGTCAAATGAAACGTTACAGACCAGTTTTGGCACGCTTCATCCCACTTGAAGTGAATGGAGATACACTACCATATGGTTGAGGACTCTCTTCTCTTAGATTGGATTTTAGCATAGCTAGTTCTCTCAACTGTTCCCTCTTGTAGTGGTCTTGTGACTCGTCCTGAAATGAAAATCAAGATTCATTATTTATGTGAATCAAGGGCAACCTCATACAATCTATTTATTTTGAACCAGTAAATATTGTACGTTGAGGGAAGGTAAAATCAGTTTCATTATTCATGTGATATGTACTTGTGAATAACGATACATCATAGTGGAAAGGCAACAATATTTGTATTGAAAAGCCAAGGGATGAATCAGAAAAAATACCATGGGTTTGAGAAGTTCTTCTATGATTTGTTTTGCCTGTCTCAACCGCATATCAACAATATTAGCAGGCAATTCAGCCTCAATTATAATGTGCAGCGGATCATTCAGATGTTCATAACCTGGTCTTCCTCTCAAAGATTCCTCCTTGAGAGCAGGAAAGCAAGAAATATATGTCAAGAGACATAAAACATATAGTAGAAATGAAAACAGAACAAGAAAAAAGAACTTGATTTAAAATCATGAAAACTTCTTATTTAACGCACACAACACACTGAGAATAATTCTACCTTGTCAATATCTCTTATTGAACATTTTCCTCTTATGTATACACGACAACCTGTAGAAGCTTCCACCCTCTTTAGTGAATTGCCTCTAGGACCCAGAAGCCGGCCCACAAAATTGAACTACAAAAATAGAAGCTTTAGTATCACAAAAAGTGCAGGGGAGAGAGAGAGAGAGAGATCCTTTAATAAGGACTTATTTCTCAGTTGTTCGTTAGATCATATGTGAAGGCTGAAATCAGATGCATTGAGGCACATGTACTTATTTCAAGAACCTTATTAAAGAATAACTGTGTGTGTGCCTCTGCACACTAACACTTGGTTCTTTTTAATCATTAAATAAAAAGGTTAGAATTTAAGATAGCAATCTCACATAACGCACTCTCAAGTGATATGCATGGCTTACATTTGGAAAGCTATCTACTGGAATATCCAAGCGCAATATCCTCTTCACAATGTAGGAACTTGGGCTTGATGGTGCGACTTGCCACTCCATATTCATCCCTTGTGGACCACCTAATCTCTGTTACAATTATGCAACCAAAGGCAAACTATTGAAACTATACCAAGAGGAAAAAAGAAGAATTAATGGAGGATGAACAAAATGATAAAAAGATAAACTGAGAAAGAGATAGGGGAACTGTAGCCTATTCCACATAAAATAAACGTAGAAAAAGCTCAAAATACACAACATTCAACGTACTGGGATATCCAAGCTAGTCAACTAACATAAAATAGCTTCGAAGTATATAAAATCAATTAATAAACTTCAACCATATTATAAAGCTGAAACTTCCACTATTTACCATATAATAATGGATTTAATGGTATATGAAGCCAGTGGATTTACGGACACCCCTGCCTTAATCACACTTTGACTATGTCCTGGATCAAAATGAATTCACAGTTGAGAAAGCCACCTAATGGAAATAGATGAATTTGGAAAAAGTCAGTGGATAACTGACCCAGAAGGAAACCATGTCGTAGGCTGATACATAAGAGTGTTTTGGCAGTCTTCAAGTCCACAAAAAGTAAGCAATACTGTCTTTCAACCTGTGGATAGAAGACCACCATAATCAACTTCCAAACTCCCAATACTGCATTACACATTCTGACCCCACTTCAGGCAAGATCCAAGTCTTCCACGTCAGTAGAACACTACTCAGTATCTCTCAGGACCTGATTATGCTTTCCTCTTGTTCAGTTCCACATTGCCATGAACGATTATTTAAACTAGTTTTTCAGACGTTCATGCTTTGCATACCAATTAAGCAGGTAGGCATAGACATACATACAAGATACAACAAATCTAGCAGGAAATTCATTTAGGCATACACAGTTTAAACAAATCAGAAAAGGGGCAGCAAGAAAAATAATCAATGCACTACTGTGCTATAGATAAAGAAAAATGGAAGACCGGAGATGCAAACTATGGGTGTTACATAAAAGAGAACATGATTTCAAGTACTTACATCATGAGGTCGGCCGTTCCAGCCACCCAGGCCTGACCCTCTATAGTTTGGCATTATGTCTGAACCAATGGGGCTAGGGCTTCCACGTTGCATTCTGTCAAAGTCACTAAACCCTTGGTTGGGCATCATTCCAGAAACCCGTATTATCTCTATCAAAAAATAGAAGAGTACCAAACTTTAGCATTTCCCTTCCTCAATATATAATATAATGAAACAAGAATATAGAGCATTGAATCAGTTTCTTGGCAAAGTTGAAGAAATCAATATGACAAGTAGAACACATATGAAATGGAGAGATTAGTGATGAAAGCAACTGAAAAAGAACATAACACATTGAACATGCAAGTCAACTCCAATATTGTGAGGAAAAAGAAGTTCCATTTTATCCAAAAGCATTAATCTCCATCCCACTCCTTGATGAGGAGGTTGTGTGAAAGACTACTTTGAACCACCAAAGGTGGGCAGAGCATACTCATAATAAGTAATTCAAGGACCAAATAAACATCCTAGCTACGCAAGGCAGAGAAATCTACATTCTTTTCTCCTGTATCAACAAGTTCTGATCTTTCTTTCCATGGCTTTCATAATTCATCAATTACCCAACACCCATATACAGAAATGAACAGCAGACAGCTATTAAGATGCAGAATTCTCAATTGGGTTCATAGAAAAAAGCAGAAAGATTTTAATTTTGGGCCGTAAAAACACCCAAAAGCAAATCCAAATCACAATCATAACACAGAAAAAAGGACTTGGTCCAAAAACAAACATGGGCAAAAGAGAAACCTTGATTCAAGAGTCGGCCACATATGGGGACGACCTGCGCGAAAGGTCCAAGCTTTTGGTGCTCTGCCAACAGCTCAGTCAAGTACTGGCTATCCACATCGGGCGGGGTTCTTAGGTGCGGAGAGAGCGCTCTTGCCGGTGAGAAATTCTGAGCGTAAGAACCCGACATTGAATTCCAATGGACGTCTGTGAGGAAAGAGCTCAAAAGGGTAAAGAAACTAGTAAATGGGATGTGGTGAGGCTTGAACTGTGCTGGGTAGGAGCAAAAGTAATGGTGGGCAGAGGTGGTGGGGTTTAGAATTGAGAGGGTTTTAATGGCGTCTTGCTTTGCCTTTGCTTGCTGCTGTAGCTAGAGGGAGAGGCGATGCGGACGCCATTTCATTCAGATTTTGAGACCCTCTCTCTCTCTCCTCTCTCTCTCGCTCTTTCCTTCTCTGTCGTTGCTGTAAGATTTTAAGATTGACACCTCACACCGAGACTGACAGGAGGAGCACCGCGTATGACGACACACGCTGAGTGAGCGCGTGGAGTGGTGCTCCAATCAGATGCTGTGGAGATGTCATCGGATATGGGACCCAGTGGCCGCAGGGTAGGCCCGGATCCAGCATGTGAGTTGTGAAATGAAACCACGCTCTTTCAGGGTGTGGGGCTCTCTCTCCTCTTCACTCTTTGAATATTCGCATCATTTAGTCTAAACACCCCTACATCTAATTTTACTTTCAATGTTTTAATTTTAAAATTTTCTTCTACCATTTCTTTCAAAATTAAGAGTTAAAATTTAATTTTTAATAACCGGTGATTATCTATTAATTGTTGAAAATAACTTGTAACTCAAGTGACTAAGATTATTTATTTTCTATTGAGAATCGACTACATGTAAGTGACGATTCTACGAAAAACAATTTGGTTTCATTTTTTTGAATTAGGTCCCTTATGAGTTATAATGACATTCCAATAATGGTCTTAATCCGAGTATGGGAGTGTTAAGTTGTCTTCTTCTTCTCGGAATATAAGGTCGGTTGCTCTTTGAACCACAACTTGGTATTTGGAAACTTGAGGTCTTACTATGTGATTTTGATGGCAACTAGTTTGACCAATGCTCCACACAGTGGCCAAATTCCTTTTCTCATTCATGTAATACAAATATTAATATTAATAAATGTTAAATACAATCTATACGCAACGTGACGTTGATATATAATTTTTATTATACATTTCTCATACATCAACGGTCGAAAATAACCATATAATTTGTATAATGAGCTGTGTTTGGTATAACTAACTAATACACAAAGACAAATAAACTTTGTGTTGTTACATAATAATTAATATAAAAAAATATTAGAAATGGACCAAGGGGTTTTGCATTGCAAGATGGACATGTTTTAATAATTTATATAGGCTCCCAAAGGGTGACATGGTCTGTTTTGATCCCCACATTGTTGTCTCCGGCTAAACGTGCTGTGCCATGTACTTTTCTAGCACACACCTTAGACCTTAGAGGAATCCTATGCTTCATTTTCAACCATGTATTTTTAAGAAGAAAATTTTAAATAAATAATCAATGTGTTTTTGGAAAATAAAAAAATTGTGGTTATGTTAATTAATATATCAATTATTTGATGCATAAGTAGGCCGCCGAATGAAATTTTCTATCTGTGGCTAGCTAGGAGCTGTCCACAAGGTTTGGACATTACATCTGTCTTTAAGTTGTTGCTTAATTGGCAGTAGGAAAGTATTAACTATATATGGAAATATTCTATTTTTAAACAAGGTTGCTATGCTTCCTTCCTAACTATCAATCTCATTCTGAATCATTGATGGTGGGAATGGCCATGATTTTAAACAAAAGTGATATTAGATTATGATTTAAATTATGATTTTTTTTATTTAAAAAAAGTGGTAGATTCAAGTCTCTGTCTTAACTACTAAAATTATGAACTCTCACATTTGAATGTGTTTAAATTGACAGCTTAACAACAAAATGTACAAAAACGTCATATGAGAAAAAGGAAAATTTGGATTGTGCATGTTAAAAGCGAAAGAATTATGCTAACGTTAGTGGTACCTAGACATGTGACATTAGCTTAGCATATCCGTTGGATGATTATGGACAGGTGGTTTGAAGGCTTACCATCAGGGTAATAACCAATAACCAAGGTTATGAGTAAAACTTGAAAATGACATATATGGTGGCCATGCTTCAGATTCTGGTGGATATTAATGCTTCGTTAAAATGTCACAAGAGCAGGTAGTAGTGTTTAATACATCATAGATAGCATTTGGTTTGTTGGTCCAAAGCCTTACATTTCATGTGTAAAACTTGAAGGGGATGAGGCTTTGTTCAATTCCGTTCGAATTCAAGCCTGTTGGAATAAGTTGCCCTTCTCAATAGGCTCTTGTCTACAAATGCTCAAAAGCTACCAACATCCATGTTTCAGGTGTTATGTGTGAACCCACAAGCCAATTTATCAAAATGCAGGATTTTTTTTTATGTTTTTTTTGTTTGTGAATCCCAAGCACTAAATAAATTATCATTGTATGTTAACAAGCTTTTTAAAGCTCATGGGACATGAACTACACATATCAGCCAAGCAAATTGGAAGGACTGATAATAAATGGCAAAAAGTAGATTACAAACAACAAATAATATTGCTACAACTTCAAGCCTTTGTTGAAAGTATAGATTATATCCCCTAGCCAATCAAAGAGAAACATCTCCAGTTGCCATCAAAAGGGGGATAGAAGAGCTTCATTGGGAAGAATTTTGGGAAACTCCCCGGACTTCTGATGCTGGTGAAGAATAAGAAGGGATGACCTGGGTCAATGAACAGTTATGTCAAAGTCAGCCTAAAAAGCAGTGCAGATGACAGCGGATAGGGATACAGGTAGTGCAATGGAGACAGGAGTTCAACTAGAAACTAAAAGGTACCTTAATGGGATAAACTTCAGTGACTTCTTCAGTTCCCTCGTCCAAGTAAACAACATCCTGCATGGTAAGCTGGTGATATTCGACAACCTCCCTTAGGAAGCGATTTTCACGTGCGTAAACTGAATTTTCATGTGCCAATCTTGCTTTCTCTGCCAAAAGTGTTTCCAATTGCAGCCGTATCTGAAAGGGAAATATTCGCATCAGAGACATTGCACCTGATGTCATTATGCATATAGAACATAAGCATTAAAATGTATCAAGGAGGTTCTTGTCCTGCTCAAACTATTTATAAGGTCTTTAAATATATAACATCGGAAATGAAGATGGTAAATTGTAAACCAAACATAATTTCAAGTCTCAAAAGAAAGATAAATTAGCAAAAGAAGAAGCCAATGTAAAATATAATAAACCAATAAAAACTACTAATGAAGAAAGAAAAAAATCAATACCAAATCATCATCTTCAGGGCTGTCTCCCCTTTCACGATTCTCTCGAAGGATTTTGTTTTCTTCCTCCAGCTGAGCACATCGCTCCTTTGCAAAAGCAAAATCTGCTTTGACAGTCTTCAACTCCCGAAGAAGAAGTTTTGCTTTGGCAGCCATTGCCATTGCAACCTGTAGTGCAAACAAAAGGCAAATCATGCTTCTTATTATACAAGTGAATTGTAAGCATCAAACAATTGTGCTACACGTGAACCCAATAGCAAGGTTATGGATTATGGAGCATCAAAGTCATTCAAAAATTTTCATTGTATTAACTGTTAATTATTTGTACAAAGAGGGTCATACCAGACTCAACAGATTTCATGCATGATAAGGAGGAAATTAATTAAAATATTCCAACATCCCAACATTATTCATATTCCGGCTGCAAGCATATAACTTCTATTATATCAACCAGTGACACAAAAGTTGCCACCTTACGTCGCGAGATGCCTTCAATTGAAGTTCGAGGTCAGCTTGCGTCTGAGGTTTTTGCGCCTGATTCTGTGCAGAACCACTGGCCTTTTTCTTAATATGCTTACGAGTTTCTTGAATGATGTCTGCAGTCCGGTTCTCAACAATCGTACGACCTTCCTGTCAAAGTGAAACACAAACAGTGCACACATGATCGAATAGTAAGTACCAATTTATTGAATTGATTCCAGAGTAAGCTAAACATAAAGTCAATGAATTTGTGCAGATACAAACACACACACACAGAGTAATTGTTTCCATTCATATTAGCCTTATGTATAAACACACACGGACAGCTTACTATGTTTCAGAAAATAGAATGAAACAGTAGGCAAAATAGTGGGATTACTTTTGACAGCCTGAGAAAACCATTTAAAGCTCAAAAATTCACTTTAATATCGCTTTTGCAATGCCTACCTCCAAGGCAGTCCCAATGGTTCCACTAATATAACTAAGGGATGATGTGAATGCACCCAACCCCTTCTGTAACGTCGGGTTGTCTGTCCTTCCACGGCTCTCAACATGTTGGTTTGGATCACGATACTGCTGCAAATAGTTAGTAGATATACAACTTAGTATTAGATACTAAAAGTCCGCAGATACATAACTAAATGATGAATTAACAATGAAGCAGCAACTGCACGTCTTTGGAAAATGCCAAGCTACCATAACACATGATGAAGAAGATTATCTCACCTTACCCCTTGTTGGTGTAGAAGGCATGTCCACCCTTGTTCTTCCAGGAGAATCATAATTTTCAGCTGCATTATCCTCGTCGTCATCGAGAATGGCTTTGGCTTTTCTAGCAAGTACACCCCAAAACCCATGTTTGGATTCACTCAAGTTTTTTATTGATGTATACTCATGTGGCTACAAAACACAACAGATAAAAAGGCATTGGAACTTGCAAGTAGCAGCGAAAGCAAGAAATGGGTAGAATCAAACCACATCAGATGCAACACAGAAGCCAATTCGAGAATGAAAACAGCATAAAGCATGTGAATTCCCAGACCTGTGAGGGAGAAGACGACGCAGGGGTTGTGGTGGTGGGGGGGTTGGAAAATCGGGAAGGTGACGAGGAGTTGACAGCAGGCTGAGCACCGCGAGCGACATAAGCAGAGGAGAGAGAAGAGTCGCGGTGTGCCGAAGAGGCTCGAATAGCTTTGGCCGCAAGCGAATCATCGGACTGCGGCGGAGGCAGTGGGTACCGAGATTTTTCGTCTTCTTCTTCTTCAAATCGAAAGCTTGGGCTTGATGTTGATGACGAAGATGATGGCACTTGCTGCCTCCTCCTGTAAGCCATTTCCAACAATCTCCTCTTTTCTCTGCTAAATTGAATTGCAAAACCCTAATACCCACGAGAATTTATGGCACTCGCTCTCATTCAAAATTCGATCTTTTTGCCCTCTTTTTTGTTTTTTGTTTTTTGTTTTCACAGAGTCTCTGCGACTGCACAGATGGAAAATTGAATAGCCCCGACGAGGAAAGCCCTAAATTGGCAAACCCTGGTGCAGTCACAGAGAAGAAGATCCTCACACCTTCAGCCGAATCAGCCCTTCTTCTGAATTCGCCTTCTGGCTTTGCTTGGCTTGTGTTCTTGTGTCTCTGCGTTGTCAACGCCCACTTTCCTTTGATACAGAGTTACTGTTTTTCTTACTAAAAATAAGATTGCTCTTTTGATTTGGGCCTGGAGCTTCTTCTGCCCAGCTTTTTGGGTTTGGGCTTGCTTTGTAGTAGAATTGACAAAAACCACATTTCCTTTTCCTTTTCCTTTTACAAATGAACATTTTTATTGAAATCCAACAATCCTTTTTTCAGACTCGACACCAAAATTTTATCCCGTTGTCAAGGTTTTTTATGGCAGAATTTGCCTCCAGTTGTTGGATTAAATTTTGACAACATGTGGGAGACTAATGAAGGTGAAAGACTAATTAGACCTAATAAAAAGATGGTGTAAAACCCATTCCAAGGAGAAGTTTTGAGGAATCAATGAAATCGGGAGGTTGGGGAATGTAGACTTCTTCGCGGATGGTGCCATGGAGGAAGATATTGGAGACATCTAATTGAGTGATGGACCAATCATACTAGACAAGTGATAAGATGATTCTAATGGTGATGGATTTTACAATGGGGCTAAAGGTTTGAGAGTAATCGATTCCGGATTGTTGATGGAACAACCCTTAACACAAAGCGTAACTTGAAACGATCAAGAGAGCCATCAACCTTATATTTTACTTGATACACTCATTTGTATCCAATGATGTTTTGAGAGTGGTTAGGGGGACCATATGTACATGTCCATGTTGATTATCAATTTATCATCATTATTAGAGAACAGTTTTAGACATCAACCCCATAAAGCAATAGTAGATAAGCCCAACATGCCCAATAAATTAATCTCTTTCATCCGCTTAAGAGTCATTCTATAGTGAGTGCCTTATATATGGCCCTTATGTAGGGATGATAATGGGTCAAATGGAGGGTGGGTATGCCATCCTCATCCTCATTACCTTCATATCAACAATCTTCAAATCGGGGATTCCCCATCCCCTCTTTCGTTGGGGAATAGGTTCCATGACCCGCCCCATTATGAAAAAGTAAAAACAAAAAGCTACTTTGTTAAACGAGGAAAAAAAAGACATTATTAGCACAAGATATGTATAAATTTCATTTTTATTAACTAAAAATATAGACTAGTTAAAAAAAAATTTAATACGTGTCATAACTACATGTTCAAGACATGATCATCAGTATAGAAGTAGCATCACCATCATACATCTTAATAATATAATTATATGATAAAATAAATTATGTATATGTACATATTCTAAACGGGGAGGGTTCGGGTCGAGGATTAGAAAATCATCCTTGCCCATCCCCGACTACCATACCCGAAAAATTCCCATAACCCTTTCCCATACCCATTTTTTATCCTTCATACCCGACCCATTAGGGTTGAATCTTCGCAAAGACTCTTATCCGTGGGAAAATTGTCATCTCTACTCCTAGGTGAGGTCTTATCTCTTAACCGTTGATTTAGGCTAACCAATTTGATCCAATGGCTAACCAATTTGATCTAACGGCTAAGAGATAGAGCCTCATCTAAGGGTCATATATAAGGCCCTCACTGTAGAATTCTTGATCCAGTTAAAATGGAGTTGGGCTCCACGTTAAATAAGGAATTTGCCAAATATAACCCTATTTTCCTATTTTCTTGGATACACTGTTGTACTAAGTATATAGGAAGTATTCATTGTTGGATTGGTGGATACTCCAATCACTCAATGCTTTTAAAGCTCATCCAACGATGAATACTACCTATGTACTTAGCACATAAATATACCCAAGAAAATTAGCTTTTTTCCTTTCATTTTCTATGAATCAATGCTAACATTAGACTTGGCAAACTGTCCTATTCATGATTTTGAAATCCACTTTATTATTTTTTTCATGTTCCTTTTGCTTTGGTATTTAAATAAGGAAAATATTTCTCTCCTTACCAAGTAAGTAGTAGCTCTTACATTTCTACCAATAGCAGTGTAACATGTGTGCATAATTTTCTTTTTGTGTTTGTAATGAATTATTTTTGCATATATGTCAATCTGTAATTCGCAGAAAGGAGGAGTATCTCCTTATTGATAAAAAGACAAGTAATATTTTTTAAATAAATTTAGTTACTAATTGAAGTTTAAGAGAAAGGCTATACACGTTTCTTCAGCTGAGAATTGAGGGAAGGGAACATTTAAAAGCAAAATCAGGCCAATCAATATTATTGTCGAGGAATATGTTACATGTACAATAAAAAGGTTCAATTTTCAAATATGTAAAATGTTGCATGTGCGTTATATAATGGTCATTGTACATAATAATATAAGCTTTGAAAATTGAAATAAAGGGAATATTGCAATAATAATTATGAGTACTTTGAATATGCACGGCTTTGTGTTGGAAGGGTGTGAATGAAATTTTAAAATGGTAGGTAGAGAGAGGCTGAGTTGGCCACCCTTTTGCTAGACAAACAAACATGGGGTGGCTCTGACGGCGGTGGCAAGCTCCATTATTTTGGTGTAAACTACAAGAAAATAAGCAATTGGGAATCAATGGTTGTTCAAACTTTGAAACATTGTGTTGGTATACTCAGCACATCAAGACATAACCACACATGATTATGCTTACTTGTTTGCCTTGGAAATTATTCTCTCAGCGAATATAGCAACATGTCACTATTCTAATTGCATGCTTTTGAATCTGAAATATATTATTATGAAGTATCAAAGAAATGTTGATAAGTGCTCTTAATGAAATTTAATATAATTGAGCTCTCAACTCATCTTAAAGTTAAAATTTAGTTAAGTGTAACATTCGTTAGAGATTCGAATTTAGGACATTTTCCAACTTTTAACATTACATTAATTATTGATTTTTTGCACCAAAATTAGTATGATATTGCATTATAATAATTATGAGCAACACTCAGCAATGTTGCTCATGAGTCTCCAATAGTAGTAGCAAACTAAACTCTTCAAATTAAAGTTTGTTGACTTATGTGACAATTTGAAAAGGTTTATTTGCTACTTTAATAATTTATGCCCCAACAAACTCTTCAATTCAATTAATGAAATATTATGGAAAAGAGCGAAAAATACAAAAAATGTCATGTATTTATTATCCGAAAATAACAATGCATGTTTTTAATATTTTCAAGATATGTTTTTTTTTTTCCAAAGTAAAATTAAATGTTTTGAAGAGCCAAGGTCAAAGACCCGAGACACCATCACAAACCCTAGCCTCTTCTTTCCCAAAAAAACCTCTACAACTGTTTTCACTTTAAGGGGGGAGGAAACCATTGTTCTTCCTCCCTTCTCCCCTTCTCCATTCCTCCTTATTTCTTCAATTTTCCTCCATTTTCAGAGACATAAGGTTTTCCTTATTTGTCTTTGTTTTGTAATGATTTCCTCCACTCATCATAGGTAGATGTGTCTCGATGTCGGATCTTCATATACATTTCGGTGTCGGATCTCTACCACCATCTTTTTTCAGGTTTCTTCATGTTTGGAATAAGTCGCAGATACTCTTTGGATTTTCTGTGTAGTTTTCACTTCTTATTTTGTGAGAGTTTTTCACCTCTTCTTCGTGAGAGCTTTCTACCTCTCTTTTATAAGAGTTTTATTTATATTGTTATGATTTGGTATTTTCAAGCTTTATCTTTTTTTGGTTGTTCTGAGTTTGCACTCTTAGTTGTGATGCTTATGTGAGAGTTTCTTCGATCCTGTGTGATCGTTAGTGGAGAAGCCTCAAATTGTCATAATTTTGATGTTAGATCGCTCCGTTATTGTAATGACCTTTTATAGCTAGTTTGTATTGGGTCTTTGAGCCTAGTGGCTTTTTTGGCTGAATTATGAATGCAATCCCATAATTTATCAAAACGGAAAAAGAAAAGAAGAGCCAAGGTCAACTTTCCAGTTCTGAAAAGAGAGAAAGATGTTGTAGCTTTGATGATTGAGTTTAATAAGGCTGTTGGAGAGGGTTTTGATGATGTGGCTCACTTATTTTAGCATTCCAAAAATGTTTAAGAGGCTCTTAGAATTGCTCTTAGCTTATAACAAACACTTTAATAAAATATCACACATTATGAGTTATGACAAAGGTAAATGCTCCCTACCCTTCATGAGTTTGAGTAACAAGTTCTTATTGTTATCCACATCTCTGGATAGACTATACATCATATTATTATATCAAGCTTATTAAGTTTATTAAGTTAATAGTCAAATTTATGTTTGTTAAGTTTTTAAGTTTTTATTTTATTTTTATATCAAGTGAAATTTGTATTTATAATTTAGTCACTATATTTTTTTGATGAAATTGATGGTATATAAACCAACCAAGTTGGCCAAGCATTTGTGTTTTCTTTTATTGAGAAATTCTGGGATTGAATTCATAATTCAGCAAAAAAAGCAACTAGTCACAAATGACCAATATAAACTAGCCATAAATGGCCATTACAGTTACGGAGAAATCTAACATCAACATTAAAACAATCTTATGCGCCTTCACTAACGATCACGTGACACCGAAGAAACTTTTTGACATAGGCATCCTATTTAAGAATACAAACTCATAACAATAAAAAACAGATAAAGCTTGAAAGAATCAATACATAGCGAAGCATTTGTTTAGTAGCTTATGGTTGCTTGAGCTCCATTGATCCAATTTAAACAAATTTGAGTCTTGTTATAGATCAAGTTAACTAAAAAATAGAGCTGCATGAATTTGATCCATTACAACAGTAATATGTCTCATTCTTTTTACACAAAATATAATTACTAATTGTATGATATACAAACAGTAACCTTGAAAAAGAACATATCAACCACAAATAATTTATTGAAAGAAAAACAAACCATGATCCCAAAGATGACAAGATTAGAAGCTAAATATTTATGCCATTGGTGTAAACATTAACATACAGTCTATGGTTGCATAAAAGTAAAAATATTGAATGGGTAAATTACTCAAATGGTCCTAAAACTTGTATGCGATTTACATTTTGGTCCCTCAATTAAATTATTAGTTCAAATGGTACATAAACTCTATTTTAATCGCCCATTTGATCCAACCGTCTAATTTTCTATTAGATTTAACCAAATTTTAAGGTAAATATGATTTTTCATAATTAACAAATAAAATAAGATTAAAATAAATACAAAATTAGAAGAAAAAAAATGAAGAAAAGGAGGAAGAACAGAGGAGGAAGAAACCCAAAAAAAGAAGAAGCGGACAAGGTTATTGCAATGGCTTTCTTAAGTGAAATTGGGAATATACTCAGATAGACTGCAAACAAGCATATTAGATCTGAATTATCTCCTTTCAAATTGTCTATCCATCAAGTAGTAAGATGCATGTCAAACATGGTGAGTTCAAAGCTCTTTATTGGAGGTATTTCGTACTAGACAGATGAGTAGAGTCTGAAGGAAGCTTTTGCAAAATATGGTGAAGTTATTGATGCAAGAATCATCAGTGACTGTGAAATTGGTAGATTTAGAGGATTTGAGTACATCACTTTCACCAGTAGCGAGGAGGCATCCAGTGCAATCCAGGCCTTGGATGGGCATGAACTTCATGGCCGTCAAGTAAGGGTGAATTATGCTACTAATAGACCTCGCTCTAACTTCGGTGATTGAGGTGGTTTTGAAACTGCTAGCACTGGAGGTGGTTTTGGCAACATCAATTTGGGTGTTGCTGGTGCTGATGACTTTGTTGGCGGTGCTGACAACAACTTTGGCAGTGGTGGAGCTCAATTGGGAGAGAACAAAGGTGGTTTCAGCTTGGATGATCCCTTGAAAGGAAATGATAGGGATGATGATGATGATGCCGGCAACTTTCTCAAGAGGGCTTGATAATATTTAGATAAGAGGAGCAATTTAGTTTGCTTATCCACAGAGCTACTAGTAGATTGTCTTTTTGTCATTGCTGAATGTCCCCCGTCCCTGTCTTTATGAACTATTAATTTCATTTGGCGGATTTTTCTATGAATTTCATGCACCTTTTAGTGTGCTTTGTCAACTAAGGACTTGGATTGTGGGAAAAAAAGAAGCAAAAAAAGAAGAAACCAGGAAGAAGAAGAAGAAACACAGAAGCAAAAGAAAAAGAAACCTAGAAGAAGAAGAGAGAGAGAGTTAGTGGATGAAATGATCAATTTGCCCTCATATTTAACAGAAATATTGACAGAATGTAACGGTAGGACCAATGAAGCGAATAATATAGAGTTGATGTACCATTTGGACTAATAATTTAATGAAGGGACTAAAATGTAAACCGGGTATAAATTTAAGGATCATTTGAGTAATTTACCCAATATTGAATTATTATTTTTTTTTTGGGTCAAAACCCAATATTGAATTGTTCAATTTCTGCTTCTTGGGCCTACATCGTATGCAAAGTGTAAAGGGTTAGGGGTAGTTATGTCATTCAATATTCGGAACGACTCAATGAGTATGAGACCCTGACTTTCTCCGCCAGACTCATCTGTGACCTCAAACCCTATATATAGCGTACATCTCCCTACAAATACTCAGAAGATAATAGACCTAGATACTAGTGCAGCACAGTAGGGAGAGAGAGAGAGAGAGTGAGAGAGTGAGTGAGTGAGTGAGAGAGAAGCAAAACTATGGTCAAAGAAACCCCACCACCTATTTCTTCTCTAAACAGTAGTGGAGAGGGTGAGCTGTACATATCAGTGGCATGAGCATCTATCTCTGAGTCTCTCTGTCTCTGATGATGTAGCTGGAGATGGAGGGAGAGAGAGAGAGAGAGAGAGTGAGAGAGAGAGAGAGAGCCTTAGCCTTGTGTTGTAGTTTGTCCATGTTGAATGAGTAAATACTAAATAGTAAATACACATTCATTATGGTCATAAGTATCAAAAGCTATCCTGAAAAAGAAAAGAAAAGAAAAGAAAAGCCCATTTCTTTTTTATTTTTGAAACTTTATTGCTTTCTTTTGGTATGTAGTAACAACAAACACCAGTGCTTTGCCAGATTTGTGTAGAGAGATCAGAGAAAGAGAGATCCTTCAATATATCGCTTTCCCTTCTCTGATTCTCACGAAAGACAGCGACACTTCCTCTCCCTTCTCCCCCCATTTTTTCTCTCCTACTCCTTTAACACAAACCCTTCTTGATTTTTGCATCACTCTTTCATTTCTCTTAATTTTTATTTCATTATTTTTATAAATCTTATTTAATTCTTTCTGGGTTTTGTCTATATTATTGGTTTCTTTCTTTTAATACATAATCACAGACTTCACAGTGCGGCTGCTGATCGTGGTTGAAGCACGGATTTACTTTTCCCTGAAGTTGTAAGGACGTTTCGATGGAGGTTCTATTTTTAGTAAGTCTCAAAGTCTTTTAGACCGTCTTTCATTCCATGCCCTCATAATTATGTGTTAATTTGCTTCGTTTTTTCACAAGTTGGTCCTTTGTCACATGTACCATTATCTCCTTGTTCCCTCTGCAATCTCTAAAAAAGGTCCCTAATTTGAGGCTTTGACAGCCAAACACTTGATGATGGCTGCTTAAAACCTACCATCTTTTACTAATTTTGAATTGTGATAGAAGCAGCTTCGACATTTTTATGCAAGCTATTAGACCATCTTTATTTATAGTATATTTTTTGGGGCCAGGAAGAGTAATTCATAGGGGATGAATATATGATGATGTGATGTTCTTAGGTGGTTTTGAGTCTCTGGTTTGTAATGGGTTTTCTTTTACTTAGGGTTAGGGTTCATGCAAGAAATTATAATTTACTTTGAGATCATGGTTTTCTAACGCTATATAATTTATGTTCCTTTGGCCATAAAAGAAAAATAACTAGTGTTACTTTAATTACCGATGGAGAAATGAATAGAAAGGAAAGGAGTTTCTCACTTTTATAAATTATCCGTGGTTTGGTTCTTATGTGTAAGTGGAAACAAAAGAGGAGAGAATTCCAGTCTTGGAGTCTTGGACTTACAAGTCATGGACAATCGGAATTGATGCAAATTTCTGGTAATTTGTAAAATTTCTACACCTTTATGAGAGTACATATCAGAATGTCCCCATTAGTACATATGTTATTACCGGCGGTAAGATCAGATGGATTAAGGGAGCTATATATCAGAATACATATCAGGACTCTATAGAGTAAAGTTATTAATTCATGATTGTGTCAATAATATATAGGCTACATTTTCTATTGGCATCCATTTTCAGAATTCCCTTTGAATATGCTATAATCTAATTAGAATTTTAGATTGATTTGAGTATTTCTGCTTTCAAGAATAATGCTATAAAATTTCAGTAATAACTTTCAATGTAATATGTTTGAACATGAAATTTGAATGCTATTCATCTACATGCATAAATTCAAACCAAGCAAGCACTAATCAATACCATATGATCACAGTATTTTATTTGTCCTTTGTTTTTTATCATTTTGTTTAGACATCAAATTGAGTATAGGAAACCTTAATAATATTTTGGTCTTTGTTGTTTCCCCCTTCTGAATTAGCATATGCGATGTTTAGTTCCAATTTTTCATTGAATTATGGTTTGATGCCGATGGAGCATCAATATCGTTAGAATAATGTTTATTATGTATTCTTAGAGATGATTTAAGTGAGCTTTCTTCAGTCCACTCATGGATGGGCAAAGGGTTTGGATTAGCTGCCGACTCATTCATTCAAACACAGTAGAAAAGGGGGTTGATGTTTCTACTGCGAATGTGTGAATGATGCGGGAGATAAATTTCATCCTTTTCTTCTCTGTGCTTGGACTGAAGGGAGCTCCCTTTTATTGTCTTCTTTGTTATATTTGCCTTTAAATACCTTGCCATTTCTATTAATTATGTTTTCGTGAGTAATATATAATTTCCCCAAGTAATCTTTTGTTTCTTATACATTCCTGAGTGAAGTAGATTATGCTGCCTTTCCTTTTGTTGCTGACTGAAGGGTCGAAGTTGAACCATCTGTTGTTTTGAATCTACCTTAAAACATCTATTTGGCCTGCTTTTTTATATATTAATTTCTTTGCAGGGCACCATACTGGATTTTAGTTGAAGTTTGGCAACAAAGTGTACAATTTTTATTGTGTATATATATCTATTTTGGCCGGTACCAGGAAATAAAGGGGAAAGGAAAAGAGGATGATGAGGTCATGAAATTAGCTGGGAACAATTATTTCCCGCACTGAGCAAAATGATCGTGATCTGTGTTTTAGGAGAGGGAGAAACACTTACATGAAATTGCTATTCCCGGCCAATCATGATATACCACGCGTGGTAACTTTTTCACATGGTAGACTGTGATTGGCTGAGAATTGAAAAATAGTGCTATACCCATTTCATAGAAGTTTTCTGGTGTTTTTTTTTAGAGATTGTTAATTTTGGTAAAAACTAGAGAATCAAAAGAGAACGTACAAAGCTGGTGAGTGAGGTCACACTGGAAAAACAATAAAGTAAAAGTGCTTTTATGTTTATGGTTAGGGAAAATTGGGTGAGAAATATGGAGGCTGTGGTTGGTTGTCTTTATTGGTTTGGCCATGTTTGGGAAGTGGATATAATTAGAAGCAGATTTGGTGGCATGCATTGATAATTAAGTAGCCCGTGCGTTTTGGCCTCATGTCCACGTCTGTGTACTCAAGTGGGGCTAAAAACGCAGTCTCAGATCAGTCTCAGTCTCTCAGAACCAGAGGTTGGAACTTGGAGCTACCTATCTATCTATATATAGACTATACATGCCATGTCTATTTCTACCCACCCTTCATGCTTCCTTGGCATTCGTGAACCCTATACATACATCATATACATCACACCCCGTATAATTACTTAAACAACCCCACAGTCTACCCTTTTTACTTTTGTGGCATAATGTCTCTCAGCAAAAATCTGATTCTCTTTCACACGAGTTAGGTCAGTTAATTAGGGCATTAGGGCAGTGAGATTAGTTGGTTAGGGCATTAGAGCAGTGAGATTATCCTCTTGCACCAATGTTTGAATCCTCATTTTCATTGTTTAAATTATTGCTTGTATTTGAAAAAAAAAATTCCGATTCTTTAAAGGATTATGAGAAGTTATTTTCTTCAATTTTATGGAGCTCAAAACCCCCCACTTGTGTTTTTTGTAGGTTATATGATCTTTACGTGTGTGTATGAAGATCTGAAGTGAATTAAAATAAGCAGTTCATTGGGTGTCGATAATGGAAGTACACAAAAAAAGATATTGGAAGTACACTTGAAGTGGATTTTTAATTGTATTTATCGAGTAATGAGCATGTGTTATGGCGTTTGATTAGTTTATTGAGGTGAAGTTAATTAATATTCTTCTTCCATATGGGGGGGTGTTGCCATGTTGTCTGATCCTCTCTATTTTATTTTGCGTTGATGTCATTCTAAGAAATCTGTGTAATTGCTAATGCTGTAATGCGTGAAAACCCTACTAGACGACAACTGGTCTTATTTTGCTTTTCTTATTAGGGTTCATTAGGGCTTCTTTGGAAGTCCAACTGCCCACATCTACCTAGTTAATTTCCAAGGTAGGCAAGGAGGGAATATGCAACATTACATTACCAACGAACAAAAGAGAGGTCAAGTTCAATAGAATGATGCTGCCTCAAATCTGCAAGAGAAGAACCCTGGCATTTGTTATGTTTATGGAATTAATTAGTCCAGGGTTTTATCTGGGTAAGCTCGTATATTTTATGAGAACTGAAACGATGCATGATTTTATGCTAGATGACTACTATTGGACCCTAAAGCTTAAACTTGTATCTACTCCGAAAGATTAAAGTGTAAAGAAATGAAGCACCAATGTATGTCAAGGACAAACAATTCCAACCCTCAGCGCACCACACTGCAAGTGTACGAATGTTTATTTACTTTTTTGTTTTATATTTCTTATAATATCTCCCAAGAGCTTGTAGATGAGAGAGAGAGAGAGAGAGAGAGAGAGAGAGAGAGAGAGAGAGAGAGAGAGAGAGAGAGAGACCTGCCCTCTAAAGTTAAACCCCTGGTGAGTGAAAATGATAGATATATGGTGCACTGGTCCCTCCTCTACAATGAAATTCCCCCACTAAAGAGGTGGCTGTGAGTTTGGCATATCATATCATGTTGACATGTTATCTAGATCTGTGGAGAAAAGTACCACCAGTTGAATAAGTTAACCTAAATTTGAATGCACTTGAAGAATCGCAGGTACCCTGGGCTTGTGTTGTTTAATCATTAATGTGTACACTTGGTTTTTGTCATTGGACGGTTAAGTATCTGCTTAGAACAGTACACGACCCTTAATATAAATTATTATGTATAAGATTGAGGGAAGGAGCCAGTCATCTTCAGGCGAGAAGTGGCTTTCACTAGGAATAAGTGCTTTTTGTCTGCTTTTCACTTGCCCTCTTTTAACAACTGATGATTCTTTTGATGCTGCTGCTGCTGCTGCTGCTGCATTATGAAAACTCATCGCCAAATGCTCCAACCAAAAAAGAAGAGAAGTAAAACCCTACAACCCTTTTCTGAATTTTTTTTTCTTTTTCTTTTTCTTTATTTTCCTTGGTTTTTAAATGAAGTCCAAAAGGGAGCATACATAGATGAACAGAAATGAAGACATAGTACATTAACATTACAACATAATTAAAATTGTCTCTCAACTGGGACAAGGGCAGATAATGACATAGAAGCACAGACATGTAAAAAAAGAGAACACACAGAACCAGTCCACTTCTCTAAGTTCAACTCACAGCTGCAGAGCCAAGTTAGGCTGCTGAGAGTCCTCCAGCAAAGATATAAAAGATGGAGAAGTAGGCTCCTCTTGGTACCATTGATGAATTGTAGCTCTTTCATGGCTGCCAATTTCATTGTACAATGGGGGCTTCATTATTCCCTGAGCTGATGACACAAGCTCTTGTTCTTTCCTCATAAACATACCATTTGCCAATGGCCTGTGATCCTCACCAAGCTTCACTTTCATACTTGGAAATCTACCGATTTCTTGCATACTTCGCGCTGTACCGGGATGGTTCCATTGAGCCAGCTGACCTGCCTGTGCAGAGTTAGCTACATAGTTATTCAGTGAAGATAGCTGACCTGCCTGTGCTGAGCTTGCTGCATAGTTATTTAGTTGAGAAAGATGACCTGCCTGTGCCGAGCTAGCTGCATAATTGTTATTCAGTTTTGAGCCAAAATCATAAAAGGAAGTTTGTGCCTGACTCAAACTTGACAACTTTGGAGCTGGTGAAGGCATGTAAGATGATGGCCTCAAATAGGTGTTGCTTCTAGACATGATCTCTAGCAGCCTTGACTGATTAGAGTGATATGCAGTTCTAGACAACTGAGCTTGCTGAAGCAGCTGGTTTCCTAGGTTGTTAGTTTTGGCTAACATATCCACAGTCCTAAACTTTATGCTGTTGTTTGAGGTCCCAGGACTACTCAAATCTCTAACGACACGAATATACGATTCTAACTGAACCTTGCTGTTTTGATTTTGAGGAGCTCTGACTTCCATGTTACTTCCCTGAAGTCCTATGCCAGTGGTAAGACCAGGGATGTTCACGTTTTTGTTAATATCAGTGGCCATCTGTTCATGCAAAGCTTTGTTATAAGTGTCTTTTCCCTTGGCTACCTGAAGAATCATTTTCCCTTTTGGGTCATTTAGATTGCTCTCCATGCCTAATCTGGATGTGCCAGGAACAATCATATTTCCCTTGTTAGCACCCTCATTGATACATATGCCAGCTCTGGTGGGGGCATATCTTCGTGCAGAAGCATCACCATGAAAATATGAAACATTAGCATCCCTTGGGAAGTTATATAGGGAATTATGTTGCATTTGAGTCGTTTGGCCGGTATTAACAATAGCAGGATGACCAGGTACTTCTGGGGCACATAGGGTGGAAGCCGGATCATTTGGGGTCTGGACTGGAGGGGTTGTCTGAGACTGGCAATTTGGAGCTTCAATAAGACTTTCTAACTTTCTCTGGGCAATCATTTGAGCTGTTGGCCCCAAATCTTTAATAAACCGCATGAGACTTCCTCTATATCCAAAACCAGCATCAATCTACAATGTCAAGAAGCAATCTAGTTATATATCTCAACATACACAAGTTCGGCAAAAATTATTGTTTGAACCTATCATACATAACCTCCTCCTCACAAACTTCAGAAGTAAATAATCTCAAAGTTCAAGCATACTATACTCAGATTGGTGGGCTAATTTTGATTTGCAAACACTTTTATAAAGTTCCATAACCATTTAATAAATGCTATCCTTGATTTGATGTGTATAAGATTGGCAGCAAAAGCACCTTCCATAACAGTTGACACAAGCAGAGAAAGAGGTAGGATCCAGAACAAGCTGCCACACTCTTCCGGTTATGGAACAAAGTGCAGGCCAAGTAAAAGTCTGTTTCTCTTTGCGTATGAAACATATCAGTGAATAAGTTACGCAAAATCTTTGTTGGTAAGCAACTAACATGCTGTGCTTCCTTATGCAGGTGAGGTTATATCATGGAATTTAACATCTGTTAGACCAAGTTCTCGTGTAAGCAGGATGTATGGTAACTTACATGGAAAAGTGATTTGGGGAAATTGTAGACAGTTGAGAATAAAGATTCATCGTCATTGGAAGGCCTCCAATAAGTTTGACGCCGCTGAGTTTCAGCTAAATTTGAATTCCTTCCATCTCTCAATCCTGTGCAAAGCAAGGGAAAATGAAACCAAATTAGCTTCCTTTTCAATCCATGCATGGCTGAAGATGGAAACTCTTCCAAATATCTTCCAAGTATGCTGTTCTAGTTATCATCCAATCATGAGTTGATAAACTATAGCAGTAAGTTCAATGATAACATCTATGGCAAGAAGAGGTAAGCCTTCAGAAGAACAATGTTGCAACTTAGCATATTTTTCCCCCCTTACCAGGTTTCGAATCTGTTTTTCTTCTTTTGACACTCCCTGGCGTAGCATGCTTTCTGCATAAACCTCTGGCTTCACTTTGGGGCTTCCTATCAGGGCATCTTCTTTTCAGCGAGTTTTCTAACAGAAACCGTTCAGGATCTGTTTTCAGATCCCTGAAAAGCTCCTCGGCTAGTTCTTGTAAGCGCTGAGCCTGGAAAGCATTATGTTAGCATTCACAAAGAAAACTAAGATAACAATTGATATGCATGTACAGTTGTATCATCATGTCAAATAAATGAGCCCACCTGGAAGTGATATACGGTGGCTGATGAGTTGAAGTGCATTGCATTTTTGGATACCAGAATCGCATCATGCTGTTAATTCAAAGGAATGAAAAATCAGTTAATACTTCATAAAATGTTCTACAACATAATATCAAAATTTCAATAAATTTTCTGTCCTTCCTCACTTCTCTCATTAACATATAGAGGCCTGCACATAGTTTCACCACTTACAAATAAAGCTTGGTGCAATTTAAACACAAGAGATAATAATTTTTTCCTTCTCCTGAATGCAATAACAAGAAGAAGAAAGAATGAGAGCTAGGAGGGAAAGTGTTTATATGGGAGTGAACCTCAAATTCTTCCAAGTTGTTGTACATTCCTTCATGTAGTTTTGCCCTCATGGTGCCAAAATCCATTGGCTCTTTGATAATTGAGTAATAGGACCTCACCTTAGAAAGCAAGAAACAGATCATTGTTTTTTAATCAGAAAGGAAGCAGAACATCTGTAACAAAAAAAGTTTAGAAACCAAAGTATAGAGCTAACCTGTTGAGGGTCAACAGGCTGTGCAAATATTCCAAATACGTCTCTCCTATGTAAAGCAGAATGATTAGGATAAAAAACCATATATCGCGTAAATAATCCACGTCCTTAAAATAATTTTCTGGCTAGTAATTCAAACAATTAAATTGATTAACTTATGATTAAAGGAAAAATGAAAAGAAAAACGCACTCAAACCTTTGCAGCGTATCAAGGATGAACTCAAATATGCGTTTTTGTGGCACTTGCTCATCAGATGACAGATTTTCTCCTTCATCTAATTAATATGAACAATAACTAAGTTACCACATTCAGAAATCTAAATGATTAGGGTGTTAAAATCACTTGACTTCAGTTAACATCTATGTTATATAACAAGAACAGGCTCACTGTTCATGATCGAATTGTCTTCTTGTTCTTGGTCTTCACCATCCTGCATGCAATTTAAAATGAGAAAAAAAGCATCAAACACTGAAGCTGCAAGTTATGGTAAGAACCCTGAAGCTCAAATCAGCATCCCAAGATAAACTAGAGGTCCGATTTATATATGCGCGTGTGCACACACACATAAATACATGTAAGAGCAAGGCAGGGACAGAGGGACCTGTTGAGATGATAGGCCAACATCTTTAAGTCTTTTGCGCTTGCGGCCTCTCTTGGCAGCAGAAGCTGCTGCTTTTGCTCTAACATGAGCCTGATTCTGACCATTCTCGCCAACAATGTTGTTACCGGATTTGGAGAATTCATTGTTCCTCTTCACCTCATTCAATGCCGATATTCGGGCACTCTTCCTTCTCCCTCCAACTACTTCACTTCCCTCCCACATTTTATACACCCCTGTAATATCAACCCATGTTTATAATTTTCTGCTACTATTACCATATCAGCTTTTGTAACAAGTTTTACTTTCCATGTTACTGCCATTAAAAATTACTCCATAGAAAAGAAAGAAAGAAAGAACATGAGAAAAATAGTTTACCTGAAGTGAAGTCAGAACTAAAACCACTCTGCTTATAAACGTCTAAATGAGTAGAAATAAAATAAGGACATCATACAGGACTTACTATTGACCATTGTTTTGACCCCTTGTGGTGGGGATGGGGTGGAAAACAAAAGACTCAATTTTGGTAATTCTGCAAATACATTGTAACGGCTGCACCCACATCAGCACCAGCAAATTTACAGCTCATCTCTGATGCCTCTTACTTACTTTGCTAGATTTACCACAAAAAGAAGGCAAGAAAGAAGATTTGCAAGGTGACCATATTTCTATCTTTTCCATCAAGCAAAAATGGGCCAAACCACATTTCCATTTTATGTTAACACTACATGCAGAAGGGTAATGAGTATGAAAACCCTACATAGACCATATAGTAGGGATCGGTCAAATTCTGTCAAGCCACAAGAGACTTTGAATTGTTCTAATGCCTTGTGTTTGCGCGAGCGTGCCACTATTAGGAGTGCAAAATCTCCGTTAGTTCCCCCTTTTTCCATTCGACAGCAGAAGTAATTTTTGTATTTTGAACTCTATTTTTTGGTTGTTCCATGAAAAACAAAAATCACTCTAATTAAAATAAAAGATTGACATGGACAGGAAAGCTTGCCAAAGGGACCTTAGAAACTCGAAAGAAAATTGTTCAATAACATAGTAAAATTTCAGTTATGGACACAGATCCTATATAGAAGGTAGATTTGAGCAAAGAATAGATGTCTAATAAGCAGATAAAGCAGCACTTCTGGTAGAAGCAAATGAGAGAGTAGAGTAAATTACCAAATGAACACTTCCTCTTGTCAAAAAGGGAAAATTGAAAGCAGCTCACCACCCTACAACTCTTTCAAAACTGGCAAAATCCTCATCACATCTCCATTTCAAGGATCTTCATCAAGTACTAACATACATTCAAGGCACACTATCAGAGTCAAGTGATCAAGAGTCTTTTCTACAGAAAAATTTATAAGCCAGGTACTCTTGTCGGTGACCGGGTTAGGTGCTCAGGTTAGCGTTACATGCAACGAGCATTGTGACAACTGTACGGTGATCAAATTCTCCGTTTATAAGTGCCAGTAACTTCCTAACTTGTTCAACATGCATTTGTTACGCCAGATTTGGCACGATGCTAATGCATGGCAATGTCGTTTTCGATACGATAAAAGTACATGTAAGCTAAATTACATTCTACTCCATAACCACAATAAAGAACAATAAATACACACAATGCTCGGCACAATTTGCGCAGAAAGGTAGAAGATACATGTATAAACATAAATTACCAAAACTTACACTCTGATTTACAAATTGTGCATGAATAAATGGAACTGAAAGCACAAAACCAATTGCATTGGATACAAAGAGTGCATAAGTGATACAATTGAGAAGATGTTGTCCTGCTTGACTAAAACATAGAACAAAAATGTTTCTTCAATCCTTCCTAAATTGATGCATAAAAGGGAACAATTGCATTCAATCCTAAGCAGCAGCAGATAGTTAAGAAGCTGCTTCTGCTATCAGTAAGCTACTTTACACAATTGCTTCCGCTGTTTGTAGGCTGCCACAGTAACACAGAGCATGCTTCTCAAAGCTAAGGTGGCTTCTGTACAATTTATCAGAAGGTACAGCCAGTACCAAACTGGCCTACAAGCATCACATTCTTGTTTGAGTAATCAACCAGTACCTACCTCATCACAGATGCACGGCCTTGGAACTTAAAGACATATGAAAGGGAACTGAGAATAGTCAAGTGAGGATCATACAAGGATCTTATGGCGAAAAACACACGCCATTTATCAATCTTTCAAGCGCACCTGAGAACATTGCTTACTCCAAAGTGCATTGATATACCTATAATTCAATATCCAAGGTGGCTAATCGAATACTGGAACGCAGACAGAAAAGCAACTTCTTAAGCCACTCTTTCTTATTTCTGGAGGGAGAGAGTGATGGAGGAATGAGAACATTCACGCCCCCAATTTGACGCTGGAATCAAGTGCATCAATTGTGTTATTTTGCTGTCCCCAGAGCTGTGCATATCTCCCCGCCTTAGACAAGAGAACATCATGGGGCCCCTGCTCAACCACTTTCCCGTTCTCCAAAACTATTATCTGAGAATTGATTTGGCAAGACACACAGAGTAAGATATTGCAACATAATAAAAGGAATAGGAAAAGATAAAGGAATAGTAGGATATGGGTAGAACATCAAAGGCTTTGATAAGGGTTAGTCAATACTACAAGACATTTAATAATTCAGAGTTCAACAGATGGCAGAAATTGTTCTCTCAATGCATTTGGTTTCTACGAATGAAAAGGTATGCATATGGTAGAAGAGGGTTTGTTAATTTCACCAAATAGCAACTCATACAACACTCTTTGTGCATAAACTGAGCCAAAGAATGAATTAGAAAGCAATAGATGTTCAGGTCAAAAACAGAGGTGGTAAGTTGACATAGAAAAACATTAAAATATGAAGGAGAAGAAACACAGAGGTAGAAGAATGTTACCTCATCGCACTGCATTGCAGTGGTTAGCCTATGGGCAATGAAAATTGAAGTTCGATTAGTTGCCAAGGACTTCAATGCATTTAATATTTCTGCTTCCGTGGTGCTATCTAGTGCACTTGTAGCTTCATCACATAACCTGTGGGTGTCAAATAAAAAATAATCATCATAAAATGCTCAGGATATATTAGATTGCTGTGGCCTACTTTCTCCTAAAAGATTTAATTCATTAGCAAGTCAAGGATAACTTCGAAATTATCCACGGATACAAAATCGCAGACAGCATGAACAAATAGAAGAAAAATGACGGAGGAAAGATTAGAACGGTTACAGAATTGGAGGTGCTTTCAAGAATGCACGAGCCAGGGCCACACGCTGTTTCTCACCACCACTTAACTGCACAGAATTATCATCATACTTTTCAGAATTCAAAAGTCCACCAAAGAAAATTAACAAACAGTTGCAATTCCTTTTTTCCCCTTTTTCTTCGGTCAGCATGTTACACGGTTGATCATTACAAATAATTTAAAAAAGACAGTACAAAGAACTGACTTTGCAGGAGGTAAATGTGCAACTCTACAAAAATTTAATACATGCAGTACCCCAACCCAGCCTAGCTCTTAAAGAGGGATGTTTAGCCCACTATTAAAGCAAACAAATTACTTAGTAAATAGCATATTCAGTGTTCTCACCTTGAGCCCTCGTTCCCCCACAACAGTAGAATACCTGTCAGGGAATTTCATGATAGTGTCATGTATTGCTGCACGACGAGCGGCATCATACACCTAAACAGAATAACCATTAGGCCAAGAAAATAGCATAGTAGAGTCAACAGTGTGCAATACTAGTCTATCGCATACCTCTTCTTTTGTTGCTGAAAGATGACCATAATGAATGTTATGAAATATTGTGTCATTGAAAAGTACCTGCCAATGAAGCACAAGTTATTTCCTTATCAGGATGTTACTATTTACGACCAACAAGATCCCAAAAAGCAACCTCTCAGTTTGCAGTAGCACCAACTAAAACGAGAAACAAAACAAAATTTACTTATTTAAACTTACTGTATCTTGGGGCACAACACCAATAGACTTCCGTACACTCTCAAGTGTCAGATTCCGAATATCTTGACCATCTATCTTTATCTGTGAATGACAAAAATTATGATCTTCAATAGGAAGAATGTCCATGTGAATTGTGAACTACAAACATAATATAATGGTAAGCCACGGGTTTTTATTAAATTGTTCCTGGTAGTGATGCCGGGAATACAGACTGATTTTCGGTTCATAACAATTAAGTATATTAAGAAAAACAAGAAAATTGGAGTTAACAAACTAATTATTATGCCCACATTATGAAATTGCATCCTAGAGGAGGTTAAATGGGACATAACAACTTTCGCTTCTCAACATCAACTTGCTTGCCCTCTTTAATCTACCCAATTAGGTCCTTAACCTATTTTCTTTTGGTTTAAACCTTTTAATTTAACCGTTCCTTGGTATCTCTAATATATGCTCATAATTCAAATACAAATTTTTATTTAGTTACGTGGATCATTATTTTTCAGGGAATATTGCAGATTAAAATTTATATTAACTTCAGACATGTTTTTAAGCTGATGAGTAGATCGACAGAAAGTCACCTATTATATTTCACCATCATAAAGTTTGTCTAACTGATTAGAAATTGCAACCAGCACAAAGATTTTCAGCAATGATGCAATAAGCAAGGCAAAACCTGTCAAGTGATTACCACTCATGACTAGAACCATCAAGATTAGACTCCAACGCTAAGAAAGCTACATGCTTTATAAATTAAGCCAATATTGTACCAATAGATAATTACAAAAAACAGGATCAGTTGTCTTACACTTCCAGAATGGGTGTCAAAAAACCTGAAGAGCAATCTGAGAATGGTTGACTTGCCTGCAAACAGATGCCAATTCATTATATTCATGATGATCCAAGAATATTGAATAAAGAACAGATATATGCTGCATCATGCAATACTAATAATAATTAATACAAAAAATAAAAACAATTAGATATGCATGGGCATCACTTGCTTATCCTAATAACTTCCAGACTAACATTAAGCAAAAACACCAGAACTGTGGTAGAACCATGTCTCCACAGCAGCACCCAAAAAACATTAATATCTGGTATTTCACGTCAATCAATCAATGAATTTAAAGAGTAAAGGAATTTTGAATCAAGGGAAGACGCCAAGACACAAAGAGGAAATCCTGACAAGCCTTACCACTTCCGCTGGTTCCAACAATGGCCACACTCTTCCCAGCAGGTACAACAAATGATATCCCATCAAGAATCTTTCTTTCTGTCAGATAACTGTACAAATAGAAAACAGATGTAGTGCATCAGCAATGATTACATAAATTACACAGTAACAATAATATCACATTTGATAAATGTTAATTTAAATTTGTCACATATGGATCACATCTGTAGTCCAAAAAAACGTTTTTTTTAGCATCATGCTAGCTACAGACTACTATAAAAGTACTAGATGATATATTAATGATAGAACAGCCAGAGAGAGGAAGGCCGCCTCAGAAGGGGAGGCAAGCAAAGCCTTCACCTTAGCCCGCCAAATTTAAGTCTTCTTCTTAGGTGAGGATTTTTTCTTAAAGACCCTAAATAGCAAAAGAAACGAGTCTTCTGACTCTCAGCCTCTCCCATGCTATTGACACAAAATAGCATTTGATTTCAGAAAATTAAGAGCTTTTTATATAAAAAATCAATGGTCTTGAAATGCTCCATTAACACTATAAGGACAGCAAGAGAAGCATCAACCACCGAAATGTACGTTGTCATATTCAATGCTCCCCCCACTTAACTTCAGATGCTTTGCATCATCTTTGTCACAAATTTCAGCCCTTTCCTACGATAAATAACAACAAATAAAGTAAAAGCAGATAAAGAAAAGGCCAATTCAACAGTGTATTACCAAAAACCACTATCAAAATAGCTTGCATGACAAAACTATATCAACCTTAAAATTTTATAAATACAAACCAAATGTAAATAAATTAAGAGTGCGAGTGCGGGTATTGGGTCCTAATGGTGGTCTGTCGTTAAAGCGTGGTGAGATAAAACCAATACAATGATACGAGGAATTATATTCTTCCATAAAATACAACAGGCGAGAAGGGAGTCATAAGAGGATGTGTAGTGTCATGGTGGTGGACAGTGCTAGGTGATGAATAGAGAAATTATCGTGTGAGGGAGTCAAGTATTGAGTGCCGTGGTCACCCTGGGCCATTATTAAAAGAAGAGGTCTGTGAAGCGGTAAAATTGTTTGTAGGACTAAGAGATAATAATACATCAGTACACAACGCTTGATCTACTGGGCCCAGAATATTGCAAGTTCCGGAGTAACACAACTGAAGGTCCGATACGTAAGACAACGAGACGCTTTCATGGTCGACAGAAGACATCTGATATAGATCGTGGGCGACTGATGAAAGCAAACAACAAGAGGTCGCATGATGAATAAGTGCAGAGAATCAATAGCGTGGGAAATGAGGCCGGCCCAATGGTATGCAGGCCATGACCTGGGTAATATGAGTGGTTTCTACGCGCATATGTAGTACAAGGTGCGACTATTCATTGTAAGTCATCTATGGCCAAAAGGCACAGTAAATTTAAAACAAAAAAGCACTGTCAAAACACGAGTAACTGCCGCAATGGTACATGAGAGTGGATAAAAGCCGAGGAGATCCCGGGCGTGAGGTCATATAAGGTGGACCACGCTTCGATATTGGCCAGTTTTGTCGCACCGGAAGGGAATCACCAGCATAAGCAGGATAAGTGGTAAGTGGAGGTAAGCGGTGGTGACTACTGTCGGGGGGAGGAAAATAAAATGATGTGGGCCGAAGGTTTCGGCAGACACAAATACAGAAAGACGCGTACATATTTAGGTGATATTTGAGAACCATAGGGCATAGCTGGTTGGTAATGTGAGAGGGTGTGGGGGGGGGTTAATGGTACTAGTGAGGTGAAGCTATATTTGTGGGGTGTGAAGGAAAAAAAATTGTTAAAGGGGGGGGAGTATGGGAGGAAATAAGAGTAGGATGTTGTTGAAAAAGGTGAGGGTTGGAAGATGGATAGGGGAAAAGAGTTGGAATGAGAAAAGGGAGTGGATGTGTGCAAGAGTGTGAGGGGGGGTGCGTGTGGTGTGTAGCCGGAATGTAGGACCAAGAACCAAACGGAAGCAATAGGTGCAGGCTGCGCGACACGTCGAGAAGAGTCCAAGGAGAGACGCGCGCGTCACACAGAACAGCTAAAGGAAGGTCGCACGAAGGGATGCTGTGGTAGCAGAATACGTTACCACAGTGCTGCGCGTGAATGACAACGGGGAAAGTGCACAACTGTCACAGATCGGCGGGGAGGCAGCCATTCACAGGGAGAGGGCTCGCAAAGAGCAGCGGGTCTCGACCAACTCAGGGCATAGCAACGGCACAGAGCAATGCCTTAACGAGTGAACAAACAAGTAAAAGAGGGCTCGGCGCTGGGGGGGCTGGGTAGGGCTGTGCGCGGACAAATTCTATAATAACACACTGGACACAAACTCAACCAAAAGAACGGCACAGCAGTAGGAACGAAATGAGTCATGAACTGGGATACCAAAGCCAACACCAACGTTGTGACACGAACGGAACTGGGAAGCGAGGGGTTTCATGGGTGTGGCTATCGGGGGGGCCACCTGGGAACGTAATGAGGAAACACCGGGAAAGAAAGAGTGCCACAGGGTGGGCAGTTAGTCAAAATGCACTAGTATCTTAGCAGAGTCATAACATATGTTAAGGACAATGTTGAAAATAATGGTGTTCAATGCATACTATGGGTAATATAAAACAGAATATAGAATGAGAAAGTGTGTCAAATAGGCTAATGGGTGCAGGGAAGGTCCAATCGGGGTTGCTATGTCAGGATGAACAACTATCAACGAGTGCCTCTAGCTAAAGTATCGGACGCGCTTTATATTTTTGTGTTCCCAATGATGTGCTATATATAATGTATTCCGAACACTTAAGAAACAACAACACCATGATTATCACGCTACAATTAATCTTGCCACGACGATAGGGGAGGAACAACCAAGCACAATCTAATTACTAAGACAGAAACTGAACACAATACATGTGTTTTTTACGTAATACACAGTAGGAGTAGAAGGTATAAAGTTCCATAGGCGATTGAACCAAGTTCACTGTGAAGACACAGAGTAAAGCAACTACACAAGTGGAACAGATGTTGGAAATAGTACGTGAAGATGTCTGAGCCTCAAAGTCATTCAGCTCTCGTCACACACCCAAATACAAAACTGTTGTTCTGCGTAAAATTGACCCCAAGACCAGAACTTAAAGCATATTTGACGAGCCAATGACCCAGAACGTAATTTGACCTAATGACCCGAAAATGAAACGCATTTGGCGCCGGATGGGTGTAATGATAGTGGATTGGATACATACATGATGCCCTGTAAATCAACTGAAACCAACCCAGCATAAATTGGAGAGTTGTGTCCTAATCACCCAAAATGAATCCCAGAAATACATGGGTGGGTTGCAGTCACACTATAGGCAGTTAGCACAATGCAAGGACCAACATGTGAGCCGAATAACAGTCAATGGCGTTTAAGTTGTTATCACACAGACACTAAAGCTTTTACAAGTTATGTGTGTGAGCACGGGGGACTAAAGGTGGTGGATTTCGATTAATCATATTATATTCCGCACAATGAATAGTGTGAGAAGTTAAACAGGATGTAACACTAAAAAACTTGAATGGTGATAGAGCCAGACGGCAACGGTGCGTGGGGCTGTGTCATGTTAGCTCCCCTCATATTTAAACGGGCGTCATAGCTTCGTAATATATTGGAGATCGTTTTAGAGGGGTCTGTATAGGGGAATAGAAAACCGCATCAACTGATTAAACGCGAGAACAAAGGTTGAAGTAGGATGAGATGTGTCAAAATCCATCAATGTTTGGGGTCATACAGCGGTGTAGAAGATATGAACAAAGTACACATCACCCGGGGGTTGACCGTCGGTAATTAATCACGTGAATTCAAGTGTCGCACCAAAATTGATCGCTAGCGCGGGGGGAATCATTATCCGACCTTACACAACTGGCGCAAAGATGCCTAAACTAGTCTCACCACTGTTCAAAAATACAAGAATCATTACTTCAAAGTTTGTCGCACCAAAACTATCAGCAGCTTAAATGAAGGGAAACTAAAGGAGTCAATATAGAGGCTAGGAAAAAGGAAATTTATAGGTGTTCAACTTGTCTGTAACTGCAGTACCATTCTAAGCAGCCTTTATTTTATAGCTTTGTTTGAATTTTGTTTAACAGTATGCTCCGAAAGCTAAAAACACTATAGGGACAAAGAACAGGGCAAGGAGACACATGTACCATGTGTGACGCGGTGGTCTTGAAATGCCCATAGAATAGCGGGTCAACCCTGAAAGTGGAGGGACTCGGCAAGAGGGCCAAAGGGCTCCAAATTTGTAAGCCAGTGTAAGCCCTGAAGACCGGATAGCTAAGCTGAACGGGCCAGATGGTCAAATCGTGTTAGACAAATTGGGGGAAAAATGTTTAGTAACGAAAGAACAAAAGCAAGATAACGCCTCGCCCTTGCTGGGGGAACTACATTACTAAGTCCAGCCAGTGTCTTTACACACATCAAAATAGCTCAACAATAATCTAAGGTACAGATCCATACCTCTAAGATGGTGGGCACAACATTGAACACCATAGACGATAGAATAAAATTTATTGCACGGCTACCACGGTCAATTATCCTATTTAGTGCGCCAGTTTCTCGACTGAAATTACATTAGCCACATGATAATGCAAATGTTAGAGTGCAACTAATAGCTCAAAATCAACTATATTGAAAAGGCTTTTATTATAAACTAATATCTCCCCAAATGACAACAAAATCATGAATTCGAGCATGTTAAGAAGCCACAACATACTGGTCCGTCTGCAACTAATAAATACATTCTGAATAAACATGGAAAAGAATATATATGAATACCTAAGATGATACCGAAGATCAAGGTCATGCAAATGAGAGAAGACCTGCAAAAGTTTAAATTGCATATGTCACAAAAAGGATTTTAGGATATAAGGCATCTTTTTTCCTTAGAGATTAACAAGAATGTTCAATATGAAACCAAGAAGAATTTGCAATGACTTAGAACATGGTTAAGGTTTTATGCAGCTTGGATATTCGATAAAAGACATTTTGGGAGTGCCATACTCATACCTTCCTAGACACTGATCGGATTGTTCGCAGTGCTACTTTAGAAAACACAGCAGTCCGTAATTCTGCACAATACAATTTTGAAGAACTTTAGAAATGGGCAAGAACCCAGTTCCAAATTTCAATACATGAACATGTTATTGAAGCATAAATATCCAAAGGAATGGTATGAGCAAGCAATTACTTCATGCGTAGTACCGTTGAAAGCAGAAGCACCCGTGCGTGCAATCCCATATCCAATTAAAACCGAAACGGGAGTTGCAAAAAGAGCCAACTGGGTTGAATTGGCGGCAGTGAAAGAAGCAAGTGCGGTAGCATTGCCAGTAGCTGAGCTCAACCAATCCACAGCAAGCTTGAAGAGGAAAGGCACTTGAACATTGAGAACCTTAGCCCCAACCAAGAAGCCCAAAGCAGCAATGACCCTGATACGGAATTCATAGTTATCTTTCATCCACAAGTAACTTGCGAGAGTTCGGAAGATCTTAACGTTCGTAATCTGTTCGACGGAAGTTCCTTTAGAAACTGGAGGAGTTGGATTTCTCAGGTCCGGCGATGTAGAGAACCACGAGCGGCCATCTGGCGGGGAAGGAGCTGATGAGGCATCGGAGAGGAAAGCGTTGACATGGAAAGGGTGTCTTGATGTTGTGCGGACGCTGTTCGAAGTCAAAGTTTTTGGAAGGAGAATTGGGTTTCCATGGAAGGCGGTTCTGGTGCTAAAGGAATTTGCTTTGAAGCCGCGATGGGGTCTAAGTTGGAAGAGAAGCCCGCTGGCTCTGTACCACTTCGATGCGGTAGGACCCAGCATTCTTCTTTCTTCTTCTTTCTTCTTCGACCCAATGAACTAGTTCATACGAAGACTGAAAACCCTAATTCAGCAACTTCAAATTGTGTGGGTTTTATACGGGGGGGGAAGGATGTACGAGGACAGAGGCAAGGGGAAAGGGGGAAGAGTCGATCTGTGTTAAATATTATTTCATAATTTCAGAACAGAAAGTATAGTACGAGCAGTTCCCTTGCTCGCTTTTAGTTTTAGTTGGGAGGGTTCAAGTTTTGGGGTACAAACCTCCTTCGTGTTACAATTCATTATGTTATATATGTTCGATTTATTTGCCCTCAAATTTCTTGTTCAACACATTTCAATTGCTTTTCAAATAGTGCTTGCCTTAGTTGACCTTATTCAATGAATCAAAGGTGTATAGGAATTTTATAAGCGTTAATAAAACGGATATATGAGATTCATAAAATTATCTATTTACACTAACTAATTTTCTCCGTGTGTAGCATATATGAACGATTGTGCTTAGCATTTTTCTTATTCTCTATATACATATTCTACTTTGAAAATGAAAATTTTACTCACCACACCACATCATATTTCAAAAATACATTTTAAAAGTTTTCATTTTGTTTTTAAAACTAAGAATTTTTTTAAATAAAAATAAAAAAAGGTATCAAAACAAGGCTATAGTTATTAAGATGTGTTAAGAACTTTGTTGTTTTCCCCAAATAAAAACACCATACATTTTAGTTGGAGAAAGAGTTTTCAGATTTCTTATCTTGTTTGTCCACCATACAACTCCCAGCATATTTTGTATTGGCATTTGCTTTTTCACAACCTTTATCTAATTTCCCATTTCGTTCCCGCTAATGGCATCATCTCCCACCATCACCATCTTTCTTTCAAGTTAGAAAGAAACCTGCAACATAAAAGGCAACAAACAGAATGGCAGCTGCAAACTGCTTCAAGCATGGAACAATTCTACCAGTCTCGGCCAATCTCCAGCACAAGCAGCTACCGCCAAGAAACAGCTGCACCATAAACAATGAGCTCAAGGGAAACAGAAACATGATGCTTATGATGGGTTTGAGTGGAAGACATGGTAAAGCATCCAAGCGTGTTGGGATGATAAGGTGCAGTGGGAGAAGTATAGAGGACTTCATAGGAGGAGACTTGGTGAGATTTGATCTCGGCCGTTGGCTTTCTGACGTGGAGGAGCACAAGGCCCTGGCTGTCTACTCTCCCCATGAGGGAGGCTACGAGGGCCGCTATCTTAACCGCCTGAGATACCAGGGTTACTATTTCCTGGACCTTAGTGCCCGAGGCCTCGGTGATCCTGAGACCACCCTCACCAAGGTCCATCCTGTTTGCCCGGTGAGTTGAGATATCTGAACATGTTATGTTATTGTATTGTCGATCTACACCCAAAATTGTAGAGGACATTTTCCATTTTGTTGTTTGTTGTTTTCTCCTGACTCTAATGTATTGTTGGAAAGTAGCCTCATCTAGGGAAGCAACCCATATCAAGGTGGTACTTTCCACCAGAGGTTGATTACAGGCTTGCTGCCCTGCCTCCAAAGGCCAAAGGCCTTGTGGTCTGGATTATTGAAGCCAAGGTGCTGAAGTAAACTATGCATTTAAATGTATTTATTCTTTGAGACCTGTACGATCAAAGAGGAAGCAAAATAGGAATTTAAATCAAACCAATGTTGCCCCATGTACTTTTGTGCACAGGTTCTGTCAAAGGCAGAGCTGCAGTTTCTTGCTCTGCTTCCCACACTCCGGCCCAAGGTCAGGGTCATTGCCGAATGCGGAAACTGGTATTTTCAAATGTCTTTTTCTTTTCCTGCATTTTTAAGTAGCCAAGAAACTTTAAATCCTGTTTCTTCATGCCTACATTTGTACAGCAGAGATCATACTTACAATAATTTCGGAAAACCAATGTATTTGCAGGAGGAAATTTGTATGGAAACCACTCAAAGAAATTTCGGGATTAACTGCTAATGAGGGATGAGAACAGTAGCAGAGACACAGCAGATGAGTTCAAGTTACTCTCATCCTGAATTTGAAGACATTTGAGCTTTATTTCACTGTGGAAGCAAATCCATCTAGCAAGAGATACTCTACAGTTTTCGCTATCACCATTGTTTTCCTGATCACATGTCGAAGTACATGATAATTTCATCTAAAAATTGTAATCTATCCACTTTCATCCTACTGACAATTTTGACCATGTAATCAAATCAATTGCATGACATATGACCAATCTGTCCAGAAGCAAATAAGCATCTGTGTTGCATTTCACTATGGCATGTAAATATGGTAAAGATTGCTTGATAAATTATATTCAAAAAAATATACAACATCCCTCGTACCAATACTAAAGATACCCTTTCTTGCTGGAGTTAACCTACTTCATAGGACACTGTACAAGTCTCTCATTTTTCCCCTAAGCTATAGTCTCTCATTTTTCCTAAAGGGTAAATACAGAGGATGTGGAACTGTACAAGTCAGAATCTAAACTTTCCTCTTCCCACGTCTTCCCATGTCTAAATCTACTAGCCTTGATGATGAAGGAGCAGGTAACTGGGCAGCCAGACCAACTGATTCTGGTATGTCAAGATTGGCACTCATGGATGGGCCCATGGTTGCACGATTGATGTCGACTTCATGAAATTGCTGGACTTCAATCTTTACTTTGTCAATCTGCAAGTTACATGTACAAGAAAAATGATCAGTGCGTGCCTCATATCAAAAGACTTATCATTGTTTAGGTGTGTCAAGCAATTTATTTTATTTTATTATATTTTATCACAAGGCTAAAACAAAGAGATGTGTTGCCCTCACTAGTTCAATATGGTGAATGGATGAATGTGCATCTACAAGTCTCTTTTGCAGATCATCCTCCCTTCTCTTCTGAAACTCAAGATTCTCCAATTCATGTCCCCTTTCGCCTAACTCTTTATACAAAGCTACCAGAAACATAGCATATATCAGCAGAATAAATCCAATGGAATGAAGATTCCAGTTAAAATCAACTCAATCGAGTCAGTTAAATAATGAAATCCAACATACTTTACTAACATGCAGAGAGATGACCTAAAATGATACTTGATATGTAAATTTTTTTTTAAATTTTTTGGTGATTCCAACAAAATTTGTTCCTAAACTCAGGTAAACATAAATGCAGAATGCGGTCATGGGACTGCCATGTTTTATAATATGTACAAGTATCAAGAAGTGAAAAGTTTAAACATTAGAAAACATCCTATAACAGTGCAAGTCCACAAGAAGCATAGATTTTATCAGTACCAGTTAGTGCATGTCACAACCGACAGTGTGGTAGGGCTCTCTGTTCCACTTACAGATAAACCAGATTGCCAGTTCTAGATACTGAGCATAATCCAAAAGGAATGTAAATATATATACCTGTCATAACAGAGAGCACCCATATCTGTGCTGGGATATCAGAAAGCTTCTTTGCCAATGTTAAGGATGATCTCAAGATCTCTCTGGCCTGTCCGGGGTCATGAAGAGCTAGTGCCAAACTCCCAAGGATTGTCAAATACTGGGAAACAAGCTGAAGGTTCCCCAAATGAGTATGTGTCAATTGCAAACCTTTGGCGAGTCGATTTCTGCACCAAACTGAGATATTAGGAGGGGAGAGAGAGAGAGAGAGAGAGAATTCATAATGGGAAATATGCTGGTACTATATCAGCTGACATGATCAGGTATAAGTTTATTTACAGGTTCTTCCCAGCATACCTCCAAGAATGGAACAAAATTAATGAAGAAGCAGAGCCTGGATACCTCAGTATCAATCTTATTAGTTTGTGCTCTTGTCTTTGTGCAGATGGATGAATATGTAGGGCAAACAAAGGTGAAAGTACAAAAAGGCAGCCAAAATTAATCACTTAACATCTTGAAGGATTTTCAAAGGTCATGTTATAAGGAGAGTTAGTGTGCTTTTCATCCATGGCATTTCAAGGAGTAAATTAATTCTCTATGTACAGAGCTTGAGAAAAATTTGATACGTCACTCGCAAATATTATCCATTATTAAAAAGGAAAGAAAATTGAAATGGACTCGTTCTAAATGACTAAGAAAACACAATAGATAAATTTATCTCCATACCGCAGTCCAATGCCAAAATTTCTTTGGCTTTGAAACAACAATCATAAATATATACTACCAACGCAGCAGATGATAAGGGACTTGAGCATACCTTGCTTCCTGTAGATCTTGTTGCTTCATCAATAAAAGACCATAGGCAAAAAGGGCAGTGGTTTTCTCTCTAACTCCAACAAATGAGTCCATCATTCTGTAAACTGGTCCAATCAAGTCAAGTGCCTGCATCCAAACTTCTATTCAGTGATGGGAAATAATCCAATGGAAAAACAAATAAAAGTACATGTGAAATCAAACATTAAATTACAATCACATATAAACCCAACAGAATTGTAATTACAGGAAACCTTTACCTGTGTAGATGATTCAGAATCCCCAATGCAGATGTAGGAGACAGCTGCATAAATTTGGTAAATAGCTTGCATGGATTTGCTCTCTGTGAGCTGCTTATTAAAAAAAAGTAACACTTAGTTTAGATGCCATGGGAAATTATATCCATATGCCTTCTTTTTTATTTTACCCTTTGCTAAACAGAATAAAATCTCATATACAAGGTGGTGTACACAAATTAATTAGCACATTGCTCCCTCATCATGAACCTTCAATTTTTTTGGCTCATATAGCATCTCTTCTAAATGGATAATGCAATTCAAGAAAAGTTTACCTTTGCAGCTTCAATGTAATGGAAAGCTGCCTCATTATAACAGCCAACAGAATGAGCATACTGCCCTCTGAGCATTTCGATGATGCTCTCACATGTCTGTAAAATTGTTGGGAAGCGCATAAACCAATTTTTCATCTGTACCAATGCCTGCAACACACAAGTATATTGATTTGACTATACTCATTACATGTAGTCAACTTGAGTTAATAATAAACTTAAGTATGCCTACCACAGGGCATATAAGACTGCCATCTTTAACAGATATGAGATATGAGATATATATATATATATATATATCATTATACAAGAACCTAGAAATGCACCATACTGAGACATGCCACCTACCTCTTGTGCTTCTACAAATTCAGATCGTGTCAACTCCATTGCCACTTTGTTTTCAAGGAACTGCATAAGTAGCATTAAATACACACCAGCCATCCAGATCGCGGAGTGCTGCAAATTCACTTCTGATTGAATTTTTTTATAAAGAAAGGTTTCATTAATAACAGTACGGCCAACAATAAAGCCAGTGAAACCATGTTGTTATAGGCATCTCAAAAATTGAACTCACCTCTCACACCATCAGTTATTCCAAGCTTCACAAGCTCCTCTGAAAAGAAACAAAGAGATTAAAAACCATAACAATTCAGGATAGACCCATAGCATGACATGACACAACTTAATCACCCCCACTCTGGCCAAAAAGGAAAAATTCAGAATGAAAATCAACCTTGGATGGTAAGCATTCCAGATTGAATTCGCTTCGCACACTCCTTAAAATTTCCTTTTGGACGACCCGACGCAACCATCATCAGATCAACAAGAGCATAGACCGCACTTTTTGGTAGCCATTCCCCATCAATAGGAGGTGGTGCTAGCTCAAGCTTATCTCCGTACGTTCGTTTCATATTTCCAAAATAAGCTGGTTCCAGAGATCCCTTGGCAGTTGAACTCCACGTAGAAAGACTAGACAGCTGGTGTTGAAGCCAAGCTTGTTTTTCAGACAAGGCTGACCTCTCCCTGTGATGCAGATCAGACCGGGAGAGACTCTGATTTATGGCATCAAGTTCCCTTGCCAGCTGCTGTACATGCTCCATTTGCTGCAAATCAGCCTTCATAGCAGCATCCAATCTTTCCACATGAGGTGTAGCATTCTTGTAGTCACAGATCCGGAGTCGATAAAATATGTGCAGCAGTTCATTATAGAAGAGTAAACCAAGGCATTGTTGTCTCTGTATGGGAGAAAGCAAGAACAGGGTAAAAGTAAAACAAACAAAAAAATTAGTATCACTGAAAACTAAAACTTAGAAGAATCAATGTTGAAAACTAATGAAGAAGCATACATACTTTCTGTGGGTCTAATGACTCCCAGACCTCATCGCATTTGGTAACAGCTAGCTGAACAGTATTCTCATCATCCCATTGCATTAAATGCACATGTAGCATACAAGTTGCGAAGAACATCTAAAACAAAACGAGTAAATTAAGCTACGAAATGAGCCTACGAGTTATGTTATCTTGCCAAATCCAGGTAAGTTAACTACCTGTAACTCAGGATAACAGATTTCAGTTGCGCAAGCAAAACCGGCCTCCAAGGCGGAGATGGAACTCCGGTAGTCTCCTTCAATGATCAGAGCATTGGCAAGCTGAGAATTGAAGTTGCAAGACCATAACTTGACTGTAATTCTTCAACAAAAATAACGAAAATCACAATGGCAACATGAGATTTGAAGCTGAATAAACTCGAACAACAGCAACAACAAGAAGAAATGAACATTAAGCATAAATTGCAGGCAAATTGTAGAAAAATACAGCTACTACATACTCGTGGCCAGCAGAAGCAGAGAGCTCGAGGGCTTTGTGGAGGACCTGCTTCTGAGGAGGGATGGCGCCGACGAGGTGGTAGCACTGGCTGAGGAGACTGTAGGCTCTGCACTTCAAGTCGAAGCAGGAAGGGATGGATTTGAGGAGCAGCTGAGCGCGCTCCAGGTGAGACTTGGCGTGGTTGACGTTGTGCGAGTGCTTGAGGAGCAGAGTGGCGATGCGAAGACGAGTCTTGACTTCGACGATGGGGAAAAACGACACGTCGCTCTGGCATATGGCTTCCAAGCACTTCACCGCCTTCCCGATCTCGCCTCTCTGCTCCTGGTAGTCCGCCAGCCCCCACAGCCCTTCCGCCACCGCTTCCATATCTCTCTCTCTCTCTCTTAATTTAATTTAGTATTAACTAATTAATTTCGTCGAAGAACCTTCGGAATTGGCTGAAAATGGAAACTGGGTTGGGAATTTGGGAGGGAGAAGAGCAGAGGGTCAGAGAGTTACGGAGACGACAACACAATATCGAATGTCCGGCGTTCAATTTTTCCAAGGACATGCCGGTCCAATGTCCTCCTCAGTCCTCACGTTTTTGCTGTGTGTCTGACTGAATCGTCTCGAGGGAAAAATGCGACATGTCGTTTAAATTTTACAAGTCCGTTTAAACTTTGGTTTTGGGTTTTTTTTTTTAAAATTTGCATAAATATCATATGAACTATAAACTAAACCAACCTTCTTGACTCTTCTTCTCCTTCCAACCCAAAGCCAACACAGGTCTGATTTTCTCCTTGGTTCCAGGGGATTTCCCCTGGAACCACCCCCTTCAGTAAATAATCCGAGCCTCTCTCCCCCCCGTTATGTTGTGGAGAGGTTTTCCCTCCCAACTTTTGTTGGGTTTTGTCTGCTCCTTGCTGTTGCAAGGGTTTGTTTCTTCCCTCTTTTCTTGAGGGTCTGGTTCCCAGTCTTTTGGGGCTGTTTTTTGGCTGATCTTGCTAGATCTTCTATTTGTGTGGTAGATCTAGTGTCGATCTTTCTGTTTTGGAGGTGGAGCTGCTGATTTTGGTGGATCTACTTTGTTGTGCTTGCGGATCAAGGGGGATTAGGAGATGCTGTGATATTCTTTGGAATATCTTGGTGGAAGTTGAGCGGTATTGCCCTCCATCCTTGGGGTATTTTCTATCCCATGAAGTATGAGAATTTGTTCTTTGTCTTGATCTCTCTTAAGCACGGATTGCTGCAGAAATAGGATCCTCATCGTCTGTAACTCCTTGTTAGATGGGCTTAAAGTTGTAAATTTGTTTTTTAACTATCTTGTAATACTTGAGCTTAGTTGGTGGTGTTGTTAAATTTTGTATTGCAAGAACCTCCTTCCAGAGCTGTGTTCTTATTGTTGTAATCTGGGTTTGTGCCCTGTTTCTTCAATTGAAGTGCTATTGTTTCACCAAAATATATATATATATATATCATCTGAACTTTTAGACATATGCAAGATTATCAAATTGAAATTTTAATTTTTACTTGTAACCACCTAAACTATGTAAAGTGTATTTACCACATACATCTAATTATGTTAATAATTTCTGTTAAATCAAGTCACATCCTACACATGTGATGTAAAAATTTCCACCCAAATGACTAAAATACCCTTCTTATTCTAATTTTCTAAAAAGAGGTTGGTGTTGTAATTTGAAAGTAGAGAGGCCACATCAATATTGAAAAGGATTCTCTGTTTCACCAAAAAAAAACGGGAGTATGTGCCTATAGGGACGGACTCACAATGGGGTTATTGGGGTCAAACCACCCTATAGACTCCATGGAATTAAGTTTGGAGGTCCACCTGAGTCAACTCTATGTGACCCAATGAAACGCCCTCCAACAACTTGATGGTTGGTCAATGAAGGGAGCTGCGCAAGTAAGAAGAAGAAGCGCAGTGCGCTTTGGTTTTTTATTTTTTTAAACACCCTGTGCAAAACGATGTCTTTAAAAAAAAATATATACAATCAAAGCCACTCCAAAACCCCTCCCACATGATCCCAGCCATTCCAAAACCACAATTCTTTTCTCCCAGATCCTCCAAGCTTTTGTTAGTTTCCTTGCATTGTTTTTTGTTTCTAAGTATAGCCTGTTTCACCAAGGTGGCATGTGGCTTGGTGTTGGCTATCTGGCCTTTTATTCCGCTTGCTTGTGTTGGAGTTTTCTCCCTCCCTCCGTTTTGGAATGAAGATATTTTCGAAAAAAAAAATCCCTAAATCCCCAATCTCCCCTCGAAACCTTTAATCCCTATCTCCTCCAATGTTATTTTTATCTTAAATTTTTTTTGGAACTTTTATACTATGATTCTATGAGGTAAATTCCTGAATCCGTCACTGCGTGTATAAATACTCAAATTACAAAGGGTTGCAAACACAATCACATGTCCAATGTCTTATGCTGTAAACTGACGGAGAAAAACTAAGTATGAATTCAATATTATTATTATTTCGTCTGTTTATATGAGTATTCCAACTTGAAACATATTAGCACATTTGGAAAAACAAAAACTACCAAACAAATCAAGAACTAATTGCTGATATCATTCACTTTCAGTAAACCATACCAGGAATGAAAATGATGAAATATTAAACATGCATTATTACAACAAGCAACTTTATATACTATAGGCCTTTTTATTTTTGGGGGTCAGAAACAGTGCTTTCATTCCAGAGGGGAGGAGCCAAGAAGCCAAACCCAGAAGAAATACAATAGCAACAAACAAGGAAGTCCATGCCACATGGGGGACAACAAAACCAAAATGTAATACAATAGACAGACTAGGAGGGGAAGAAGAAAGACACAGCAGCGCTAGTATCCACCACATCCATAGGCCTCCCAGACACATTAGACTAAATATTTGTTGGAGGACACGGAAGACCATCCTTATTCAAGATGAACGTGAGAGAGGATGGAGGCCTATAGGCCCAAACTTCGTTGCACATCCTCGACTTAGCAAGCTTGAACAAGTGAACAAACTATAGGCTTAAACAAGTGAACAAACTTGTAAACTATAGACAGCCAGGAAGCTAACCCTTACTCCCGTTTTGTAGTTACAAGAAAGTTTAGAGTTAAAAAAGATCCAATCTAATAAAACAGCTCACAGCTTCGTCACTAGGAGATCAATTCCATGCTCTGGCTCCACAACCAATCTAAGAGCAGGTCCATATTTGTACTTGGGAGAAAGTGAGAAGGAGAAGTTGGAGACTATGAGGGCTAGGAGAACCTTGAGCTCAACCATGGCCAAGTTCTGTCCAAGACACACTCTTGGTCCAACCCCAAATGGCATGTACAAGTGGGGAAGCTTGCAAGCACCTGTGATCCCATTTGCAAACCTATCTGGGTTGAATTCGTAGGCATCTGGACCCCATATTTCTGGATCAGTGTGCAGTGTCACTACTGTGGTCCAAACATTGAAACCCTTTGGAACAGTTATGTCCCCAAATTTCATGTCCTTGAAAGCCTCCCTTGACACCACAGTAACTGGTGGATATAGCCGCAGTGATTCTTGAATCACCATTGTTAGCTGCACACATTCAACAATAGTCAAGTTTTTATGTTAATTAACTGATATTTTCTACCTGTGAAAGTAAGTCCAAACATGTAAAATATTCACCATTGTTAGACTGTTTGGCAAACTAAATATATCATGTTGTTAGATTGTAAATTAATCAGGGAAAAGATTTTCATGTCAGATTGTTTGACAACCTAAACTTATTACGTTGCTAGACTGCAAGTTGCTCTAGAGCGAAAACATGATGGAAGATAAGAAGTGTTTTAACGGTTTCTTTTGACAGACACTTCTTGTTTTCTGTCATGTTTTCCCTCCCGACACTTAATGACGAGCCAATTCAGAACATATATAGGAGGATAGTTACTCTTATATCTTAAATTCTTCAATGGTGTAAAAATATATACCTGTTTCATCTTGCGAACCATTTCATTATCAGGTATCTGGCCTTGGCAAATTTGAAGGACCTCTGCCCTGACACGTTCTTGCCATTTTTGATTTGAAGCCAACAACATGAGGCACCAAGTGGCTGAAACCGCTGTGGTTTCATAGCCGGCCAAGTAAATGTTCTTGCAATTATCAACAATGAAGCGGTCTGTTGCTTCTGGGCTGAGATCAGTGTTTCGAGCACCCTCAAGAATCATTTGCAAGAGGTCTTTCTCATATCCTGCTGCTTGTCTTTCCTTGACTACTTGCAGGATCAAAGTGCTAGCCTCCTTTTCTAATGCCCAAGCTTCCCTGTTGCTCTTCGTGGGAAGGTGTCTGCAACAATATATTATAGCAATTAACTATGAGATTGTGGGGAGCTATATATGTACCACATTTATTGACCATATATTTCACAGTACCTATAGGCGAAACTACCTTTCAAGTGGAAAATGAGAAAGAAAAAAATTAGTTGTTTGCATTGCATACACTTTCTCTATTAGAGTGCCAAAGTCTCTACCCTAATTTTCTCCAATTTTAGTTGTTTGGTCATGAATTTATGTAAGAAAACCTTAAGCCCCAATTGTGAGTATAAGGTACCTCATTCCAGGAACTCCAGTCAAAAAGATTTTCTTGGACATAGCCTCCTGGAGATTTCTTAGTTTCTGAAATATCTCTTCCCCCTTGGAGTAGTTGCTTCCAAAACAAGCTCTTGAGATTACATCACCAGAGAAACTTCTTATGTAGCTGTCAATTTTTATGTCGGCAACTCCTCCCTCTGCCTCAATCCTACTGTTCCATGAATTTATCAGAGTAGCTGTTGACTCTGTAATTAAGTTGATCATTCCCTGCAAGATTTACCATAGTTGCAATCACAACAATTCTTGGCAGCATTTGCTATGAATTATATAGTAATATACAAATCAAATCTTCTCTAAACATGACATCCATTGTTTATTCAAAAACGGTTGTCAATATGATATCAAGATGTGAATATCATTATTCATAATCTGTCAATATTAAAACATACTATCCACAATATCAATACAAAATACATACCTTAACTTTCTCCATGTATAGTTCAGGAGCAATGACTTTGCGCTGGTGGGCCCATGAGGCGCCATTTGAGGTCAAAATACCTTGACCAAGCAAAGGGCCGCGCTCTTTATATTGATAAGTAGGTTTTCCCAAGTCTAAGGACGTGCATGTTGTAATCTCCCTCACTGCGTCTGGTTGGTTCGCATATAATATCTGTGTGTTGCCAAGTGCAAACACAAACACTTCACCTGTAGGTAACTTACTTATTTAGTAGAAGTAAATTATAAGACTCACTGAAAATAATAGCAATTCATCAATTCATTAATGAAAGAGCAATACAAGAACATAGTCCCACAAAGAGTTCTTGCAA